GAGGACCCTAAAACACATTTCAATTCGATTTCTGGACAGATGGGCTTCTCAAAATGAAAATAAAAATGATCAAAATAATATACAATCAGTCAAAACATGATGATTTTATTCTCTAAAAATCGATTGTTTTCCCCCAAATCTTCAAAATATTGGGTGTTTGAAGGTTGATTGATGCTCCTCTTGCCTTGACAAGAATTTCTGCATTGTTTGGGAAAGTCAATTTTTGGACAAATTTTGTTAAAAAAGTAAGGCTTTCTCCTTGTGTTTTTTTTCAATTTTGGCAAAAAAAAGAAATTGCTTCAAACTTTCTGGAAAGATGTCTTAAGGACCCAAGAACACAATTCTATTCGATTTTTTGACAGATGGGCTTCTCAAAAAGAAATGTCGACGAAAATTTGGGCTAAAATCAGTCAAAAATGATGATTTCTTTTCGCTAAAAATCGAAGATTTTTCCCAAAATCTTCAAAATATCGGGTGTTTGAAGGTTGAGTGATGCTCCTCTTGCCTTGACAAGAATTTCTGCATTGTTTGAGGAAAGTGTATTTTTGGACAAATTTTGTTAAAAAGTAAGGGTTAGGCCCCCCAAAAAAGTCTCCGGTTTCTGGTATGGAGCTTGCCCCAAAAGTGGTGCTGCGACGCGGCTTTTTTTTTTTTTTTTTGGCTTCAAATGTCGGCTGATGACTGCAAATGGTGCCCGACTAAACTTAGTGCAAATATATGGGAGTCCAGAGAGGCCACATAAAGCTTATTCTCGATCATAACCCCATCTAAAAACACGTTAAAATTGTGCAGCAGCAGGATTCCAGTCAAACCAGTGAGTTTGGCGGTTTTGAGACATCATCTTGTATTGAAAAAAAAACTTTTTCATTTTGCCGACGCGCATGGCTACGGCGACGCGCGCGCATACCAGAAACCGGAGACTTTTTTTTTTTTGGCCTTACCCCTTGTGTTTTTTTCAATTTTGGCCAAAAAAATGAAATTGCTTCAAACTTGCTGCGGAAAGATGCCTTGAGGACCTTAGAACACAATTCTATTGATTTCTGGACAGATGGGCTTCTCAAAATGAAATGTCGACGAAAATTTGGCGTAAAATCAGTTAAAAATGATGATTTATTTTTCTACAAATCGAAGATTTTTTTCCAAAATCTTTATGATATTGGGTGTTAGAAGGGTGATTGATGCTCCTCTTGCCTTGAAAAGAATTTCTGCATTGTTAGGAGGAAAGTCAATTTTTGGCCAAATTTCGTAAAAAAAGTAAGGCTTTTTTCAATGAAAGATGATGTCTCAAAATCGCCAAACTCACTGGTTTGACTGGAATCCTGCTGCTGCACAATTTTAACGTGTTTTTGGATGGGGTTATGATCGAGAATAAGCTTTATGTCGCCTCTCTGGACTCCCATATATTTGCACCGTAAGTTTAGTCGGGCACCATTTGCAGTCATCAGCCAACATTTGAGGCAAAAAAATCAGGTAAAAAAAAAAAAAAAAGCCGCGTCGCCACACCACTTTTTGGGCAAGCTCCATACCAGAAACCGGAGACTTTTTTTTTTGGCCTTACCCCTTGTGTTTTATTTTAAATTTTTGCCAAAAAATCAAATTGCTTTAAACTTGCTGGGAAGATGCCTAAAGGACTTTAGAACACATTTCAATTCGATTTCTGGACAGATGGGCTTCTCAAAATGAAGTGTCGACGAAAATTTGGGCTAAAATCAGTCAAAAAACGATGATTTTGTTCTCTAAAAATGGATTATTTTCCCCCAAATCTTCAAAATATTGGGTGTTTGAAGGTTGATTGATGCTCCTCTTGCCTTGAAAAGAATTTCTGCATTGTTTGGAGGAAAGTCAAGTTTTGGCCAAATTTTGTTAAAAAAGTAAGGCTTACCCCTTTTTTTTCTCTTCAATTTTGGACAAAAATCAAACTGCTTCAAACATTTAAGATGCCTTAATGACCATAGAACACATTTCAATTCGATTTCTGGACAGATGGGCTTCTCAAAATGAAATATCGACGAAAATTCGGGGTAAAATTAGTCAAAAAACGACGAATTTATTCTTTAAAAATAGATTATTTTCCCAATTTTTTTTCAAAATATTGGGTGTTTGACGGTTGATTGATGCTCCTCTTGCCTTGAAAAGAATTTCTGCATTGTTTGGAGGAAAGTGGATTTTTGGCCAAATTTAAAAAAAAAAGTAAGGCTGACCCCTTGTGTTATTTTTCAATGTTGGCCAAAAAATCAAATTGCTTCAAACTTGCTGGGAAGATGCCAAGGACCCTAGAACACATTTCACGAAAATTGGGGCTAAAATCAGTCAAAAAACGATGATTTTTTTTCACTAAAAAGCGATTAATTTCCCCAAAATCTTCAAAATTTTGGGTGTTTGAAGGTTGATTGATGCTCCTCTTGCCTTGAAAATTTTTTTTGCATTGTTTGGAGGAAAGTCAATTTTTGGCCAAATTTCGTTAAAAAAGTAAAAAACACAAGTTACCCCTTGTGTTTTTTTCAAGTTTGGCCCCAAAAAATGAAATTGCTTCAAACTTGCTGGAAAGATGTCTTAAGGACCTTAAAACAATTCTATTCGATTTCTGGATAGATGGGCTTCTCAAAATGAAATGTCGACGAAACTTTGGGGTAAAGTCAGTCAAAAATGATGATTTCTTTTCTCTAAAAATCGATGATTTTCCCCAAAATATTGGGTGTTTGAAGGTTGATTGATGCTCCTCTTGCCATGACAAGAATTTCTGCATTGTTTTGAGGAAAGTTTATTTTTGGACAAATTTTGTTAAAAAAGTAAGGCTTACCCCTTTTTTTTCTCTTCAATTTTGGACAAAAATCAAACTGCTTCAAACATTTAAGATGTCTTAATGACCATAGAACACATTTCAATTCGATTTCTGGACAGATGGGCTTCTCAAAATGAAATATCGACGAAAATTCGGGGTAAAATTAGTCAAAAAACGACGAATTTATTCTTTAAAAATAGATTATTTTCCCAATTTTTTTTCAAAATATTGGGTGTTTGACGGTTGATTGATGCTCCTCTTGCCTTGAAAAGAATTCTGCATTGTTTGGAGGAAAGTGGATTTTTGGCCAAATTTAAAAAAAAAAGTAAGGCTGACCCCTTGTGTTATTTTTCAATGTTGGCCAAAAAATCAAATTGCTTCAAACTTGCTGGGAAGATGCCAAGGACCCTAGAACACATTTCACGAAAATGGGGCTAAAATCAGTCAAAAAACGATGATTTTTTTTCACTAAAAAGCGATTATTTTCCCCAAAATCTTCAAAATTTTGGGTGTTTGAAGGTTGATTGATGCTCCTCTTGCCTTGAAAATTTTTTTTGCATTGTTTGGAGGAAAGTCAATTTTTGGCCAAATTTCGTTAAAAAAGTAAAAAACACAAGTTACCCCTTGTGTTTTTTTCAAGTTTGGCCCCAAAAAATGAAATTGCTTCAAACTTGCTGGAAAGATGTCTTAAGGACCTTAAAACAATTCTATTCGATTTCTGGATAGATGGGCTTCTCAAAATGAAATGTCGACGAAACTTTGGGGTAAAGTCAGTCAAAAATGATGATTTCTTTTCTCTAAAAATCGATGATTTTCCCCAAAATATTGGGTGTTTGAAGGTTGATTGATGCTCCTCTTGCCATGACAAGAATTTCTTCATTGTTTTGAGGAAAGTTTATTTTTGGACAAACTTTGTTAAAAAAGTAAGGCCTCGTTTTTTTTTCTTCAATTTTTGCCAAAAAAAAAAAATACTTCAAAGTTGCTGAGAAAATGCCTAAAGGACCTTAGAACACAATTCTATTCGATTTCTGGACAGATGGGCTTCTCAAAATGAAATGTCGACAAAACTTTGGGGTGAAATAATAATTTGTTTATTCGTGCTAAAGTATGATAATAAGGAAATTATAATAGAGTACAGGAAAAATCTAAAATTAATATGTACAATGCATACATCTGGATGAAGTGGACTTACAACCTTGTTTAGGCCAAAAAAAGTCTCCGGTTTCTGGTATGGAGCTTGCCCAAAAATTGGTGCGGCAACGCGGCTTTTTTTTTTTTTACCCTTTTTTTTTGCTTCAAATATCGGCTGATGACTGCAAATGGTGCCCGACTATACTTAGTGAAAATATATGGGAGTTCAGAGAGGCCACATAAAGCTTATTCTCGATCATAACCCCATCTAAAAACACGTTAAAATTGTGCAGCAGCAGGATTCCAGTCAAACCAGTGAGGTTGGCGGTTTTGAGACATCATCTTTCATGGAAATTTTTTTTCTCATTTTGCCGACGCGCATGGCTACGGCGACGCGCGCGCATACCAGAAACAGGAGACTTTTTATTTGGCCTTACCCCTTGTGGCCTAATGGGTCAGAGGAATATACGCTACATTATCATATTTCATATATAGTATACATATTCTTTAACACATAGACATAATTTCAAGATAATGATGTAATAGATTAAATTCAGCAGACACTCAGTTTTTCATCATTTTCAGGACCTACTCTGAGTGCTTTTTTTTTCGACCCCCTCAAACTGAAAAGGAAAAAAATAACAATGATGATTTCAAAAAATGAAAGGTTTGCGGAAACACCATGTGCAAATAATTTCTCAACTAAGAGAATGGTTCTGAAAAGAACCAGAGGTATAAACTCGACGTTCCGGTCAGTATGCTCTGACCGTCTTCAGGAGAGTACCTAAACTCTTAGAAAGTAAGTGGTAAGTGCTATCACCTAAGACTTATGGGTCTCCTATACCCTAGGTCCTTCCTCTACTGAGACTGCATCCACACCAAGCTTACTCTAGGCTCCCAGCTACTTGGCATCCACTAGGATGCAACTTCACACTCCATTGATTTCGCTTTTACTACTTAGGTGTTTACTTTCTTAGAATTTTGGCACTCTCCTGAAGACGGTCAGAGCATACTGACCGGAACATCGAGTTTATACCTCTGGTTCTTTTCAGAACCATCATTCTTAGTTGAGAAATTATTCGCACATGGTGTTTCCGCAAACCTTTCATTTATAAATATCTCCACCATGCAAAGCCTCAAATCTCACTTAATGAAGATTTGCCTGCTTATCACGGAGTTAAACGTTATGATCATTAATATTTATTTTTGACAAGCGTAAACAGCCCCTACCCCCTCCCCGGTCCCAGCGTATGGTTTTGATGACAAAAATGGATGGCTATACATTGTAGTCCAAGAAAGAATGCATTTCTACAGAACACCTTCGGTGTGCCATTTATATTTTTTAAGTATTTAAATCCATTAATTCGATTATTTTTTTTTGGCACTAAACTTGGATTACAAGAGTATTTCATACCTCTTAGATACATATACCAATTATACCCTTAATTTCAGTGTTAATGAACTTTTTTTCAAAATTATTGTACATACCCGTTACCTTAAACGATGCATACACATATAGTGCAGTCTTCCCAAGCTGCGATTATAAAACTGAGTACAAGTCATTGAAAAAAAAACTGTACAAGAATACCACCACACACTATGGCACGGATAAGCTTTCGCGTATACATGCCGAGTTATCAAGCGTATCAAGCTTGTGACGCGCAAAGTGCATAGAATTAACGTAATTCCAATTCTACCCAGGTTCAGCAGTAGCGCAATGTAGGAATCGTAATTTCAACTCCTCTTTACAATAGAAATTACATCAAATTTGACAGAAATTCCCACTTTGCCCAGGTTCAGTAGCAGCGCAATGCAGGAATATTAACCATGTGTTATTTTAACACCCCTGTTTTATTGCAAATCAATTCAACATTTTACGAAATTCCCACTTTACCCAGGTTCGGTAGAAGCGCAATGTGGGAATAAAACCCATGGGTCATTTCAAAACACCTTTACTTTGGAAAAGTACATCAAATTCAGAAATGTTCCACTTTGCCCAGGTTCAGTAGTGGCGCAATGTAGGAATATTACCAATAGGTAATTTCAACACTCCTTATTTATAGCAGTTATATCAAAATTGAAAGAAATTCCCAATTTGTCAAGGCTCAATGGAAGCGTAATGTAGGAATAATTAGCAATGTGTAAAGAAAAGTAAAAAAAAAATGACCAAAATTCCCACTTTGCCCAGGTTCAGTAGTAGCGCGATGTAGGAATATTACCAATGGGTGATTTCAACACTCCTTATCTATAGCAATTACAGCTATATTTGGCGCAAATTCACGCTTTGACCAGGGTCAGTAGCAGTGCAATGAAGGAACATTAACAATGGGCTGTTTGGCTTGGGCACAGTATGCTTCTGTGTATATAAATGTTCGCACGACAATACTCAAAGTACGATGAAAACCTCGTACAATTGTCAATATGTAAGTTTTGGCTGCATTTCTACTTTGCCAGGTAGTATTAAAATTAACTTCTCCATTGTAACCGACGCTAGATACACGACACTTTTCAACGATGAGATTTCACGAAAACTGATTAAAATTGATTAATCATGTCAAAATCTTAATAGAAAGTCATGAGCAATGTCATCGATACCATCAAAAACAACAAAAAAAAACCAAAAAAATCCCACAATTGTTTCGTTTTAAATAATGTTTTCATCAGTGATCACTATATGGGTATTTTGGGTACATTTTCATGTCTATTCCAGTTGATAATTCCAAGTCTGGAAAGGATTTGAGAGGTTGCAATCTAATGTCCGGTAGGCATATTACAATCAAATGTTGGCACATCGTCACCCATAAACGTGTCCACAAACACCTCGATTAATTCGTCCTGTGGCGGGCATTCTCTGTACAAGGGTGCCGAGTAGTTCCCAAAATAAAACTCAAAGCAGCCGTGAAAAGTTTCATAAAATTGAGCCGGACAAGGGAAGGTCCCGTTGTTAAAAGTCGTCGACGGATCCTCGACGCAGTCTTTGTACCTATCCACGGCGAACTCCAGCTCGTCAAACTTCTCCCCGTCGAAGCTTTCATTGCCGAAGCAGACACATCCACGGTTGAGTTCGTTGACGAAGTTGACAGGAAGGTCATAACCAAAGGTGTCGTAAAGTTCCTGGTACAGCTCGCCGGCACAAGGGCACGTTCCGTTCCACCCATCCGGCGGATCACGCCTTCCAAACAGGATGTCCAAGCAGATATCGAAGTAGTCCAACACCTCCGGCTCTGGGCAAATGAAGGTCTCGTTGGTGCTGCTCGGTAGCAAGTCACTATACAGCTCAATCAGGCAGTGGGTTAAGAGCGGGAAAGGAAAATCTTGGAGAAGCCCACACAGGTCCATAGAAGATATTCCGCTGAGACTCTCAGCAGAATTGTTGCCGACGAAGTAGCGGCGGTCGTTGCAGACGCAGTCTGGAGGCTCCTCCCGCCCAAACGTCGCCTCAAGCATCTCCAGAAAATCGTCCAAACATGGACAATCCTCGGGAGAGAGTTCAGACTCACTGCTGGTGTCGGGTTTGCTAAAATGGTACAAAGTACAAAGCCACATCTCTTCGGTCGTTTCCTCATCGGGACATATTGAATCATCGCTTGGATTGTCCAAGCAATACAGTAGCCGGGGGTAAGCAAAGCCGTCATAACAGCCACGACGTCCTTGTACACCAGTTAATAACGGAAAAAGTTCTATTGCTAGAAACGATTCAGAACTGGAAAAACCATGGTCACGTTTACGTCTCCTCTCATCGCAACCGCAGCCGCCAATAAGATAGTCGTAAAAAACAAAATCATAGAAATTAATAAAAGACGGGCAATACGTCGGCGGTGCCTTGCAAACACCGCTTGCGTTTCCGGTAAAAGTCTGACCATTCAAGACAACACTACCGAAATGGTAATCTAAACACTCAGCTTGGTCTTGTACAATGTCGGCGGGTGGACACTCGATTCCGTCTGAGACGGTTCGAGTGGCGTTGTCACCAATCGCCAGGCACTCACGGAATGTAGTTGTCGTGAATATTTCGAGTACGATGAAGAAAGTGGGGTCATCGGTACCAAACGTATCGTTGATTTCGCGGTATAATTCTTCCAGGGAGGGGCAAGATGTCGACTGTGTAAGGTTACAATGACTACTGCTCTCAAGAATTCGATAGTGGTGCTCCAGGCATTCAACGTAGTAATCTAAGGTAGTGGGATTCGGGCACTCAAATCCATCCGGACCCGCGGGAAAAGGCTCATCGATGTAATCCAGACAAAAAGGAAACCTTGGGTAGGGGAAATCACGATGCCAATAGTCCACTATTTGGTCGTTATGTGGAAAGTCTAACTTTAACTTATTACGCCTGTACTCAAATGCATGACAATGTAGAATCGGTCCCGGAACCGTTGACAGCTCAGCAGTGGTAGGAATTTCCGTGGTTGTTGGCATCTCCGTAGTGGTGGGAATTGCCGTGGTTGTTGGCAACTCCGTGGTGGTAGGAACTTCTGTGGTTGTTGGCAATTCCGTAGTAGTGGGAATTCCCGTGGTTGTCGGCAACTCCGTAGTGGTAGGAATTTCCGTGGTGGTGGGAATACCTGTGGTTGTTGGCAATTCCGTAGTGGTGGGAATTCCCATGGTTGTTGGCATTTCCGTAGTGGTGGGAATTTCCGTGGTTGTTGGCAACTCCGTAGTGGTAGGAATTTCCGTGGTGGTGGGAATACCTGTGGTTGTTGGCAACTCCGCAGTGGTGGGAATTGCTGGGGTTGTTGGCAATATTGCAGTTGTAGATAGCTCCGCTGTTGTTGCCAACACGGTTGTGGTTGGCATTGCCGTGGTTTGAGGCTCCTCGGTTGTCATCACCATTTCGGTGCTTATTGGCGCAACTGTGAGGTTTGACGTGGTTTCTGACAGCTCGACTGCGCTGGTCTTTGGAGCGGTGACGGGCAACTCGGTGGTGGGAGACATTTTCGCAGTTGACGTGATAGCGGGTAGTGCAGCTGTGGTTGGTTTTTCAGTGGTGGTGGATATCTTAGTTGTGGCAAAGACTCCTGTGGTTTGGGATATTGTAGTGGTCAAGGGCTTTCCAGTGGTAGTGGCAGGCTGCGTCGGTATCATTGTGGTGGTTGGAGCTGCAATAAAAAAAGAACAACAACGCAATCGTACTTGAAATAAAATGTAACATTTGATAGATTCAGAAATTGTTTGAAACCAACGTAAAGATATCCTTTGTGGCTTGAAAGGCTCACTCCCGGAAGTACATACCTTGGCATGATGGTGGTAGGAAGCCGTCTGGACAGCTGCAAGCACACACATCGATCGCTCTGTTCACCGTTCCTCCGTTGAAACAGTACAGATTACACACTGAAACAGGGACAGGGTTTCATAATATCAACGGGTATTAATTCCAGACGGAAATACCAGCAAACAAAAATAACGAGACCTAATTTGAGCTGGCCTACTACTAAAGGACGGTCATATAAAAAGGACATAATGGAAGTCAAACAATTATGAAAGCACGGTTTTACAGAATCAGTTGCCGGGTGTAGGTTTAAGTTAAAATGCTAAGCGGCCACTATCTCACCGTTTTCTTTTATTCTGAAGGTTCCTAGTTTGTCTGGCATTAAATGGATGGACAAGCATACATTCGTATAATATCAAAGCTGTACCATCCTTTGAAACTAAGTTCTGAAAAGTTCCGGGTCATTTTGATCCGACCTGATTCTGTTTGGCCTGATGATTTTTAGGGTCAAAATGACAGTTTTCTGGGCCAAAATAACACTCTTGCCAAGATCATTTTGACCCGGAAAGGTTCCATTTTGACCCTAAAGGGTACCAGGTCAAATATAGAAACCGAGGATTTCAAGTCAGATCTAATCCGGACGTTTTAGAGTGTATACCCAAAGGCTTGAAGAATCGGCAGCACAGCTCAAAAGACAAATCCTCACTAGGCCCGGAAGAAAAGTTGTCAAGAATTACCATCAAAGACGACAAGCGTGGACGGTACGAACACAAATTGGCCGAGGAAGCCGGTTTGCGCCTCTACCTCTAGCTTTGCTCGGAAGGTCTCTTTAAAGGGTATGTTGGCGTCCGTTGCCTGCGTGTAAATGCTTTCGAAGCGGATCCTGACGCTCCCGGGTCTATTGAAATGACATTAACGATGTTATGTGAGATTGCGAAAGCAGAGGAACATGTGCCACCATGACACAAAGAGCTCATCAGGCCCGTAGCCAGAGTTTTGTTTCGCAAAATATAGGTTTTCCCGGCTATTTTTGAAACAGTTTACATTCAAATTCACAAACTCTTGCATTTAATTTCGCCCTAGAAAAATTGCACATGCTTTTGGCAAAACCGATTTATTCATTTACCATCCTATTTCAAAGTTTGGTCAACCTCGTTAGTTACCGGGTCGAGAATATTCGTCATTACATATCAAATTCGTCTAAGCTGTTTCCGAATGGCAGCATTCAGAGATCGAATTCGTCTTATATGAATCAATTAGACGAATTTGATTTCTGATTAACAAGGTTTGGCGTGGACGAGACGAAATCGAATACTCCGGGACGAACACGTATAACCCTTGTTAGAATTTGCTTGAAATGAATTTAAAATTGTCTGACAATTCAAAAGACGAAATTAAACACTGAAAGGACTCTTAATCGAAGTTGATGGACGAATTTGAACATTAGAAACGGTGAATTTGAATGATAAACGTTTTAAAATAGCCGGGAAACCTATAGAATTTTCGTCCTGTTTATATTCAATCCATTTTCGTCGTCCCAATTTTGCTTCTATCGGTGTTTTCTGTATTTGGTTTTTGTCTTTCGCCCTCGTGTTTTATAAACAATGTATAATAGGCCTATACTCAGTATTATCCGAAGGCTTGCGAGAAAAATATATTACACGCTTACTTGGGTGGAACTCGAACCAACGACTTCATGCTTACTAGTGCAGGACAATTCACAAGCTTACTCGGTGGGATTCGAACCCACGACCTCCTGCTTACTACTGCAGTTTGGTCGAGGTACCCGCTGCCACATCAGACTCGAACCGGCCAATCGACCCCAGAAAGCTCTGTGGTTGAGTGGTATAAGTCTGCACTAGTAAGTAGGAGGTCGTGGGTTCAAGTCCCACCGAGTAACATTTTGATTTTTGTCCTCGCACGCCTTGGGACAACGCTGAACATGCACACAGTTCCTTAAGGGGTTAAGAGGTAGGAAACACAATGGAACAATAGAGTTACCCACGGCGAAAATCTTTAGAAATCAATTTACCCCATAAGGAAAACGCTTTTGAGATTGCAATAGGAACAAAAGAAAACAATACAAGGGTAAAAAAAAAAGTCTACCCCATAATTATAGGTGTACAAGCATTACATTCACTATGGGGACTTCCGAACAAAAGATGTCCACATAAACCAAGTAACAGGACTTGCCCACGTCCACACAAGGTATTCCCCTCTCTGGAAAACAGGTTTAGAGGCATTTTGTGTAAGGTTTATTTGTGGCAAATTGAAGAGAAACAGTAAAGGGAATCATAGAAAAAAATTGGGTCAAAAGAGTTGTTACAGTTTGAGTAAAATGATTTTTTTCACTGGTTTTTCTTAACTACACGAAAACGAAGGAATGTCCACACTGGGTATTCGAAACAAATATGGGTGTGTGAGGCTGTGGGAGTATACAGTGTTTATAAAATACGTCGGCGAAGGGCAAAACCCAATAAAACCTAACCTGTTGCACTCTGCAACGCATTGGCTATGGCACTAAGTTAAGAGCTACCGCCGGATTATCAGCTCTGAATCAAAATGAGGACCCCAAACCTGTCCTGAGACAGTCTGAGTCACTAAGCATGACCACAAAAACTACAGATCTCTGAATAAACCAAAATAAATATTCAAACAGGAGGACACTTCCCTTTCGGAGTAAACATTCTGTTTCGGAACAAATAATCACTTGTCTCACTAGTCCTGGGTCGATATAAAATTTCGCAAGTTTTTTTGCTACAAAAGTGGAAACCAAATTTTGCGAGATTCTCTTACACTGCTCAATGAAAGTAGACTTCTGTAATTCTTATGTTCAAGATGTATATAATCATGCCGATGTATATACTCATATAATGATTGAAATTGGGACTTGTCGCCAGAGAGTGAAAGATTTTCTTGTTTGCTTACTCGTCGCTAACGATTGCTAAAGTTCTGAATACTACTTACGTAACTTCATGTACGACAGTTTGCAAGTAACCCTCATCATTCATGAAAAGGTTGTCCATCTTTGAAAACGGGAGGGGGGGGGAAGAAAAAATATACAACTGAATTTAATTCCAATAGGCATGCTTCCTGTTTATCTTTCGAAAATGAAATGCAATTCGATGCCCTCCCCCCCCCCGAAAGTCTACTCAAGTATCCATAAAATTGTTCTCTAAATTCCACAGAGTGAAATTAGGGACTAGAGTGAAAATCACTCTCATTTTCGATTGACAAAGTCTAAAAAATGAACCACTTCAATCGAAGCTCGAGTGAAACCTCGATCTCTACGATTAAAGAAATTTCACTCTGAAGCGTCTAGTCCCTAGTTTCCGACTGTGGGAGTGAATCTTCACTCGAATGGAGTGAATTTTCACTATTTAGAATTTAGAGAGTGCGACCAAGTGTTTATCAAACAACTGACAGCAAACAGTTTTAGGTAATCCGGATGCAAATGTTCATTAGCTGTACAGAGTAGGTTGCCTTTAAATTTTAATGGCGTCCTCTCTGATTATATCAAAACAAAATACAGCCTCACGTCGGCGCTTCTAAGAAAAACAAAAGCGGAATCCGGAGACCAGAAAAAGCCAGTTCGATGAAGAAGTCCATGTCAAAGGTCATTCGGGATAAATTCGCTGACGTGGTGACACGCGATGTTATGAGAATGCTGCTTGTAATGGGCCTTATTCACGAGTCGGCCATATTGAATTGAAAGTAAGATAAAATCCAATCTCGTTCTCATGGGTACGAGATCTTGCTGCGCCATGTTGTATCCCATCATGCCTTGCTCGATCTAGTGAAGGAACGCGCACGCTCCAATGGAGTCGAGGCTGGGTAAAATCTTAATTTTTGGGACTTGCGAAGAGAAATGAAAGCAAGTTCATTTATAATAAATTCCAGTCTGCTTCAATGAATAATTTAAAATTTGTAATTAAACATTTTCTAATGTTTAAAAGCCATATTTAAAAACAAAAAAATGACAGTAAAATAAGGCTGCATTGTGCCTGCATAAATAGTCTGGCGCCATCCCATTACACAGTTAAAAATTAATGAAACACATTCAGAGAACTCGACAAAAATGGCCAACTCGTGAATAAGGCCCATTATAGGGTGCAGACCAGTAAATCGGTCCGAAATTGCCTGCGCCGGCCAAATCACGATTTGCATGCCCTCAAAATCTTCGGTATTTGAGCATGCTGTGGGCCATGAACTTGAGGGTTTGTAAAAAATATGGGTGGAAGCTGTGCACAGGACTGGGAGCTTGCAGTTCTGTGTAATTTGGATGTAATTTGGACCCTAAAAGCGCTCTATTTTGCAATGGAGTGTAGGCATCGTTTTTCAAAATGGCGATGGGCTTCAGGACTATTTTCAGGGGTGATCATCTTCAGATGGAAATTTCTCCTAAAAGTCATCAGTTGACCCCACGAAAATTGAAAAGAAAATGAAAGATGATGAAATAAGCTTTAATTTGATGTGTGTCTCGAACACCTTGGAGAGTTGTGATTATTTTTCCCGAATTTTTTAAGTGGGAGCATTTACCATTGGGGTCTATGGAAGTTTATTTACTGGTCTGCTACCATTAACACGCGAGCGTCGTGCACCCAGCTCCGTGCGCGTTCATGCGCCTTCCATAAACGTTCGATTATCCCGAATGACCCCTGACTGTGTATATAGGAGATCGATGCCCGCAGCCTCGACTCCAGGGGCGCGTGCTCGTTCCTTACACTAACCCCTGGCTGTGATGATGACGTAAATGACACTGAATGGCTATTCACAGCGTCCAGCGCGGGCATTTCGAAGATTGCACGCCGGGCGCGCCCATAATGCGCTCGCGCTCGCGTGCTTAGCTTTGCACGTGACGTCAAGTACGAAAAAAAATTATGATTCAAAAGTCGCAAAGCCTGTACGATATGGATTATGTCAGCCGCGTTTTTCGCTAAAAAAACCGTGTATCTGTGGTTGTAAAGGCACGCAAGGGGTACGCACATTTAATACAAATCTTTGCTAATTAACACAACGTCCAAACGTTGTGTTTGAAAGGATTGATTCTTCAAAATCACAACTTTTAACATTTTAAAGATGGCGCCGGCACTTAAAACGGATAAAATGCAGCCCTAATTATAATGTACCGTATTTTGGTATATTTAAATTACACAATGCCAGGGGTTACGATCGCGCAAGGCATGATGGGAAACAACATGGCGCTGCAAGATCGTACCCACGGGGCACGAGGTTGCGATGCCCGTGACCCATATCATTGTGCGCATGCGCAGTTGAAATACCGAACTGGCTTATTCGAAGTTGTTACTGCGGTGCTGCCACGCTCTCGCGCATGGTGCACGCGTTCGTAAAGACGAGGAGCGCCCGCATTTTGGCAACTCTATTGGTCGAAGGAGCCCAAAGTGCGTGCGGAAATACCTGAGCGCGGCTCGCGCGAGCCTGATGCCACCAGCCTCGTGCCCCGTTGGTACGATCTTGCAGCGTCATGTTGTTTCCCATCATAATTTTTTTTTTCGTACGTGACGTCACGTGCAAAGCTAAGCACGCTAGCGCGAGCGCATTATGGGCGCGCCCGGTGTCACGGTCTCACTTCTCCGGCGTGCTAGATTCTCCGGGTGAACGCGGCCGATAATTGAGCACGTTACGGTGCACATTACATGAGCACGATACATGCTCATGTGTCCGCTGTGCTTACTTTTCCTCGGGCTGTGTTCTGAAGTCTACCAAGTCCATAAATAACACAGTAAGGTAGCAGACCAGTAAATAAACTTCCATAGACCCCAATGGTAAATTCTCCCACTTCAAAAATTCGGGAAAAATACTCACAACTCTCCAAGGTGTTCGAGACACACATCTGCACCCTATAAGGAAGCGAGGTTTTGAAAAATTTCTCCAAACCACTTGTACGGCACGAGGAAGGATGGATGACTCATATTTCATCAAAAAATTGCGAGAAAAAAAATCTCTGACTGCGATTTCTGGCCTGAAAACAAGCCCTCTGTTTGTGGCTACCTTACTGTAGGGCGCCCCCAACGGGCGTGAATTGAGTTTCTGCTCCTTCCGACCCCAAATTACCCCCCCCCCCCCTTTGTTCGCTCGAAATTGCTGTGATCCGAGGACGGTCCATCGGCCCTATTCAGATTTTGGGCGCATTTGTTGCGGAACCGCCATTGGTGACCGCTTTTGAAACGCTGCCCCCCCCAGGTTCCGCCCCCCTGAAAAAAAAAAAAAACACTCCGCAAACATTTGACAACAAACGGTGGAAGGCGCCATTTTGAAACTATAAAGAAGCGAGGTTTTGAAAAATTTCTCCAAACCACTTGTACGGCACGAGGAAGGATGGATGACTCATATTTCATCAAAAAATTGCGAGAAAAAAATCTCTGACTGCGAATTCTGGCCTGAAAACAAGCCCTCTGTTTGCGGCTACCTTACTGTAGGGCGCCCCCAACGGGCGTGAATTGAGTTTTTGCTCCTTCCGACCCCAAATTACCCCCCCCCTTTGTTCGCTCGAAATTGCTGTGATCCGTGGACGGTCCATCGGCCCTATTCAGATTTTGGGCGCATTTGTTGCGGAACCGCCATTGGTGACCGCTTTTGAAACGCTGCCCCCCCCCCCAGGTTCCGCCCCCCTGAAAAAAAAAAAACACTCCGCAAACATTTGACAACAAACGGTGGAAGGCGCCATTTTGAAACTATAGGTAGCAGACCAGTAAATAAACTTCCATAGACCCCAATGGTAAATTCTCCCACTTCAAAAATTCGGGAAAAATACTCACAACTCTCCAAGGTGTTCGAGACACACATCAAATTAAAGCTTATTTCATCATCTTTCATTTTCTTTTCAATTTTCGGGGGGTCAACTGATGACTTTTAGGAGAAATTCCTATCTGAAGATGAACACCCCTGAAAATAGTCCTGAAGCCCATCGCCATTTTGAAAAACGATGCCTACACTCCATTGCAAAGTAGAGCGCTTTTAGGGTCCAAATTACATCAAAATTACACAGAACTGCAAGCTCCAAGTCCTGTGCACGGTTTCCACCCATATTTTTTACAAACCCTCAAGTTCATGGCCCACAGCATGCTCAAATACCGAAGATTTTGAGGGCATGCAAATCGTGATTTGGCCGGCGCAGGCAATTTCGGACCGATTTACTGGTCTGCACCCGTAAGGGACACCCAAGAATGTGTTATGTAACACTTCCTGTGGGTCAAGCTATTGAGCTTATAGAGAGGAGTATGGTCATTTCCTAGGTCTTGCAAGTACTCTGATTTGCGTTCCCAGCTTGAGTACGAACTCCTTGGTCTGTGCATGGTCCGTGTTCCTTGCTCGTTTAGATCGTGGTTGTCTATATTTTTGTAACCATGGTTTTAAATAAATGTGTATCCTTAAAACCTTTTGGTTACAGCTCCATGGTAACATGTATTGGGAGTTACGCGCGCCACTAAAATTCTGGATTCGTCTATATCCTATCTCACGTGCTCCAGTGCAGTACAACCCCAAATAACTCAGCACACAAATAAAGTTGGCGAAAATGTACACTACTGCGCAATTTGAACATGCGTGTTGAGGCGAAATGTCCTTCTGTGGAGAAGCTAGCACGCCGGAGAAGTGAGACCGTGACACCGGCGTGCAATCTTCGAAATGCCCGCGCAGTACGCTGTGAATAGCCATTCAGTGTCATTTACGTCATCATCACAGCCAGGGGTTAGTGTAAGGAACGAGCACGCGCCCCTGGAGTCGAGGCTGTGATGCCACCTCAGAAAAGGGCTGTCGCCGGATTAATCTACAGACTAATTCTGCTCCTGTTATGTACATTCATTTCATTTTTTTCTTAAATCGCTATAAGTTTCTACGCTGATGGCTATTATTGCTCAAAGCCTCGCAAAGAACACAAAGATAGAGTCTGAAGGTTAGCCTACCTCCGTGATGAAATTTTGAGCCAAGGTCTGGTACTCCACCGTAGTTGGGTCGTTGTAGGCTGGCACGTACGGAATGTCAAAGGTCACGTTTCCGCCGACAAACTCTGTGATAAAATAATAGTCGCTTACAGTCAATATATCGAGTTTGGCATCGTGCTCAAGTTGTTTTTTTTATACAATGGGGCATGCGAAAATAATATCTTCGCATATTAGTATACAGGGTGGGTCAAATAGAAAGTGACCTAATGAGAAAAACCATTTACGAAAATATGTGGCTCGCTTCATTTAAAGGGGCATTACGTCCTAAAATGCGCCCAGTTTGGTTGCAAAACGTAGTTTAAATGAAACGGAAAGATCATTTACAAGAAGGATGTAAGCGTCTACGCAACTATCCTTTAAGAGCTAGGCGTGTTTGTGTTGTTCTTAATACGAGAACTAAAATTGTGACTCTCAAAAATTGAGCTATTGGGTGCTAGATGTAAATCCAGCCGCACAGTGGTTCGCATTCTGTGGACGTGCGAGAATCATCATTTGTGTGTTCCTACATTGATGGGACACGGCTGGAAATACGTATGCGTATGCCACAAAATGTCCGCCACGTCCAATGTTAACAACCGGTTTTAAGTCATTAGGTTAGTTTCATTTCAAATAAATCTTTAAAACAGGATAAGTGAACAATCAAAAACATAACATTTTCGGGGATTTCATGCCGCAGTGCCCCTTTAATTGTCACCATAACTCGAGACTGGATGACTCAGCGTCTGATTAACAAGTAATCACAAATACCTAAGACAGTTTACCCATTTCTATTGGCCGAGAGCCCGTCACGTGGATGGTTTTCAACTGCTGATAAAACACTGATGTTTTTTTTGACATCGCTGCGTTCTGCGCCACATAAGCAGATTTTTTTTAAAGTACTACTCGTGCGAGGCACAACCACGTAGCTAGAGGGGTGTTTAAAAAAATGTTAAGTAAACTAGTTGAATAAAATCGAGATCCGCCACTCACTGCGGGGTTTGAAAATGTACAGTCATTTGATTCGTCTTTTTGATCGCGTGCGTTTTTGCGTTACACCCCGTCGGAATTGTATTCTTTTCTTCCCCAGTACAAAGTACACAGGGTGATTCAGTGGTTGTGGAGGTCATTGACCAATATAATAGGCCACCCTCACTGCGTTTTCAGTTTACCATATTCCATTAAGTCAAGTACGTGCCGTTGAAATTGACGAAGTGTCGCTTCAGCGGATCTCCAAAGATTGTCCTTGTCAAAATATCAGAAACGCCCAGCAAAGCTCTACTGCGATGCTGTTGTTACTCAGTCGGCCATGAGGAAAGAGACAAAATACCCAGAGATTTGAATGCTTGGGTAGGAGAGATTTTTATCCCCCAATTTTTCCAGCAATGTCCACCTGAAAGAGTTGTTTATCACTGTACTGTCACAAAGATTGACAAAGCGGCCCGGAGGCCGGATGGGAACTGGAGAAACTTTGGCACGAACAGTTTGAACTCGGTGACGCAAAGAGTTTGAAAAGCTATAAATAAAGAAAATACTTACCACTTTCAGGAGTCATCGCTAGAAAAAAAAGACAGATGAAAAAAAAAATCAAATTGAAATTCAAGCAAAGAAGATTTAAATCTTATTCATTTATTCAATGATTCAACGATTCATTTTCTACGGTTTCTGCTTAATACGGGACGATCCCTCCAACAGTGGCGTAACCACTAACAATATATATACGTTGCTCTCAGTGTCCCCCTTGAAAAATTGGTAAACCAACCCCCAGGTGCCCCCTAGCAGCTTAACCCTATACACCGCTGCCCTACACACCTGATAAAACATATATTTTGGATACATCTCGTCACCGACACCACGAAGTAACACTCTATCGTGTTAAACCATATTTTTTTTCGATTTTTAAACATTATTCATCAAGGCCTACCATTGCACGAAGTTTCAAAGCTTCAAGAGCTTTACTTTAATAATTACGCTAAGTATCCATGGCAACGTTTGCGCAAAAGTGCTAATTTTCGTTTTCACGAAGTAACACTCAAGTTCCATTTACCATTGCAATGCATGGCGCTCACTCTGTTCATAAGTGAGCAAAAACGTTTTCACGAAGTAACACTCTTCTTGTAATGACCTGAAGTTTTACTTTCCTCGTGTTGTATACATTAAAGAGTGTTACTTCGTGAAAACGAACATTTACAGTTTCGCAGCTTTTTCGGTTTTACGAACTAACACTCATCTTTTTTCTCTTATTTCTTGTTTATTTAATACACAAACGGGTGAAAAACAGCAAATTTAATAAATTCAATTCATCAAGTGTCCACAACGAGAAACCCAACTGAAAATACTCTGTCGTTTTGACGCAAAGTGTTGTTTTAGAAGGCGTTCAACTTTAGTTGCCGTTTTCTCCGATTGCTAGTTTTTACTGGTATGTAGATGGGTGTTACTTTGTGGTGTTGGTGACGATTTGTAAACAAAAAGTAAATGGTCTATACGGTGAACACGCACCTGCTTGTTCTTGAGCCGTCAACTGGGCTGTAAGAAAGAAAAGAAAGAACACTGCAGATGAGTGAAAATTACCAACAGGCGCCGTAGAAACACACTCTTTTAAGAATACTGAAACATACTTTTGGAAAAGAAATTCTCTATGAGCAGAGTGAGTCAAAAAGAAAGTGACCTGGATTAACTATTTTTGTATTTAACAAGCATGTTCTTCAACTCGTGAAAAAACAAACAAACAAACAAAAGAATTACTGAAATTGATCTATGCAATCGACAGTTATGCATATCGTACAGGTGTCCATTGAACATCATTTTTGAAACCATGTTGAAACTTTCAGCTAAATGACAACCAGAGATTACGCACAGATTTTCAAATACAAATGAGACGTTAACTGTTTTGAGTCAAGACTGAAACACTATTTGTACTGTCATATTTTGTGCTTTGTATATGAGGAACAAATCAAGTATTTTTTTAATCTGAAATGATGATGGTGACTTTTTGTCTTTTTTTCCTTTGCAAGTTTTCGTTTATTCATGGTTCGTTGTGTTGAAAGGTTATTCATCTATGCGTGCATCGGTGAGTGATGAGTAGAGGACAGCTGAATTTGTGTAATCTGTAATAAAATATATAAAAAGTACTTGTAAATAAAGTAAGCATATTAGGCCAAAAAAAAAATAAGTCGATCTTTTTTTTTTCCAAAATGTTCCGCGGTAGCTCCGACAGCGCCCTTTATTTCCGCACCTCCTCAATTTTTTTTACCAAAGAGCACCAAGGAATGGGAAATTGCACCAAGGCAAATGATCGAAAGCACCAAGGCAAATTATGGAGGACACCAATGTACATGAGGACACCAAAAAAGCAAAATAGTACCCACCTTGTCTGTACAATCCAAGCTTGAAGGAAAAAAAAATGAAAAAAAAAAAAAAAAGCCGCGTGGCCGCGTCAATTCCGGAACTTTGGTCTGACCAGAGACCGAATATTTTTGTTTTTGGCCTTAGGTGAAATTTTCACAGTAGCTAGTCAATAACATAAACTGTATTCCTAAGTTATTTCCTGAATACATGGGCGAGCCACAAAACCTACAAAACCATTGCCCTCTAACTCCGCCTTAACGCACAAGGGCTATTGGTGTGAGTTCCTCGAAAATTAGGTTGAATACATGTATAAACACTTACTGCTCAAGAAAATGGCGGGAAATATCCCTCCCACCAATAGCACGATCACCACGATGACAACTATGAAACACAGGATGACGCGCTTGGTTCTCTCCTCCGGTGTAAAGCCACGCCTCTTGCCGTACATGGAGCGTCTCCTGCGCCCCTCGTGACCCAAATCCTCCAATGGGATGTCCAGGACGTCCTCGTCCACCCCAAAACGAGGCCAGTGGTGAAACTGGCGGGTTCCCTGCAGGCCATCGGGCTGTGTGAACCCGTACACGATGTCATCGCTGGGGTTGTGCTGTGTGATCACAAAGTCATTAATTGATTAATATTAGCTGCTTTACCCCTGCGATGATGGGGCCTGGGGAAGGGGGGGGGGGGACACCGGAACTCCTGACGTGTGCACAGGACAGGTCCACCGTTGGAAACTCGGGAAAGGCCTGACGATTTTTCACGTCACCCGCCCCTGCGAATTACATTGCGGGATCGTGTTTACACGGCCTCCGGCGTTAACTGTTTATAGACGCCATTTAAACAGAATTAGTTTGCGTATTCAAGGATCAACAATACAATAACTCCGAAGCAGGTTATTATACAAATATAACATGGTTTGAGGGTGGACAGTCGATATTCGCTCCCCGAGGTATTGGAAGTTGACAAACTAGTTCCCGAGGCGAAGCTGAGGGAACTACTTTGTCAACTTCCAATACCGAGGGAAGCTAATATCGACTGTCCACCCGAAATAAACCATGTTATATTTGTTTTACTATACCTCATACATATTCAGTTGACGATTTTTTTTTTATTTATGCACCTAAAACAAAATTCGGGGAAACTTGCACATCTCACCAAAAGAATATTTTGGTTGCTCAACTTCAATTACTAGTTCGGTTCGTTTGCAATATAATACAGTTACTACAGTTGTAAATACAGTTGTTTGTGTACAACCTTCTTTGGTAAACTTTCTCCAGTACGGCATCATTGAGCGCTGGAAATTAACATTTACGCGAACCGTGCAACCATGCATGGCGCTCCCTCCTGGGCTATGTTCGCGCGTGCGTACTGCACCCGTGCGACAGTTCCTCGATTGCTCTGTAAAGCGCATGCGTAGTAGACTGTCGCACGGGTAACCCATGCGACAGTCTACTACGCACGCGTATTTACCCTGTGCGTGAATCCTCGCGCGCGCGTTTGGTAAACAGCAAGAATAACATCTGGCACGTGATGGTGAATTGACCAGTGAGAGTTCGGCTCTCGATCATGAATATGTATGAGGTATAGCTACATAGTAATAAAAACTGACCTGTCGAAATTCAGCTCAGTAGATATTATCATACTTTTGAGAAAACTGTAAAAATGAATCGATGCAAAGCCAATAGGTAATTCCGTTGAAAGCGTGATGTTAGGTCCTCACCATCGCGAGGAAATGATGGTTATTCATCTTTTCTAAAAAATGACAGCCTACTAAGCCCAATGATTTCACAAACATGTAGAATATTTTCATGATGCTTTGACAGTTTCACTTTTGAATATACAGGGTGACTCCCTAAAAATGCAACCATAAAAAATAGCCTTTATAAAACAAAGGGATCGATGGATTTTTTTTTCTGTTTTGGGAATCAGGTTAAAGCAGAGAGCTTGTTTTCAAATACTGAAAAAACCATGTTAATTGCACTTCGGATTGCCGAGAAAATGCCAACATTAAAAAGTAGTTATTTTTTCATCCTGTGCACAAACAATTACCGCAGTAAGGGATTTACATTGTACCTATTTGTGCATGTCCTTATCCATACAAACACCACGGCACATATGACAAGATTACAAAATTTGTTTGATGGTAATTTTCCGCCTGAACAGATATTTCATCCTTTTAAGTCTTGTTTTAAACCCTTCAGCATCATAAATATGTCAAATTATCAATGAAATTGAACTGTAACGTGAACGTATTGGGTTCTTGTCCTCCGAGTCCGGCCAAACGCAAGAAAAAGGGGACAAACACACAGGATTTCCAACTTCTGAAGAAACTCTCATTTATTCAGCACAACAACTCTGTGGTCAACCTGCCACACTGCTACCAGTACCACGACTACTGATTCCCAGCATAGAAATACACACAGTCTGAACAAATGTATACAATTGTAACAACTAAATTGCAATGACCCCGGCGTCTTGCCAAACCTTTCCCGCGTCCCCCAACAAAAGAAACCCACTTAAGCAACCTATTTATAGAGCCTATTTCCGGAGCCAGACTAGCCAGACTCAGGTGCGCGCCGCCGGAGCCCCTCCGCCGGAGCACTAGTGCTAGAAGCAATGACATTAAAAGTACTGCATAGACTGTCCGTTACGCTGCCCCCTCCCAAGAATTTGCCTATTCTCCTGAATAGGGGCACAAATACAACACATTTTACATGAACTGATATTCACAATTTTCCAAAACCTCTTTTTTGCCATATATGTAGAGAACAAAACACTCATTTGTATTTTTTTTTACAGGGTTTACATGACTAGCACTGTCACTTGTTTTAGAAACAAAGAAACTTTTTTCTTTTTCAAGTGATGTTTACAAGATTCAAAAAGGTAATCAAAAAGAATTTACTTTGCATTGGTTTTACATTACTTTATTTTCTGGAACAAGAATCACAAGAGTTCACTGTCTATGATTTTATTAATTTATTTTTTGGGATGTCCTCAAGAATGGTGGTTAATGATGTTTTAGGCCCCACTCTGGTTCCTTAATCAAACAAAAACACAACAATCGGCGAGGACTATCCCCAACTCGTCGGTCCCCGATGCTGGGCCCTCATGTGCCGGGTCAAGTAGTCCGACCGTCCGTAGGACTTCGGGCATTCCCGGCACTGGTAACTTCGTTCTTCATGCGCTGCTTTTTCATGCCTCCTCCGAGTAAACGAGGAGACATACTGCTGACCGCAGACCCTGCATGTGTACGTCGCCTTGCCTTGAACTGGCTGACTGTCTTTCGTCTCACCACCGCTGACTTGTCGCAAACATCCCCGTCTTCTGACCGCCCTGCCACGGCGGTTGCGGGGCGAGCTGGTGCCTTGTGTCGTGTGGTGTCCAACGGCGGCAGTGGGACTGCCCACTCCGACGGCGGGACTACCTGTTCCAACCTGATTGTCTGTCCTTGACTGGCGTACTGACCCCAGCGCTGGTTCTGCATTAACCGCCGGTTGAGTGGCCCTTGGCAATGGGGAATCTACCGAACCAAGTGATTCGGTCGCAGGCACCGACAGTGGGGATTCCCGTACTGTTGGTTCGGCATTCCTTTGTAGCGGAACTCTGTGCTTACCGACAACAAAGCATTCTTCGTCCCACATCAGCTGGCATTGATGCTGTCGCATAAAGTCCAGTCCCAGAATGGCATCTACGCTGATGTCTGCGACCCAAACGCTGTGTAGCACCTCGCTTCCCCCAGTTTTCATCGGCATCTTCGCACGTCCAGCGATGCGCAGCTCACCCCCTCCCGCTTGGCGGAACCTGTGATCTGCGTCGACGAGCATGGGTCTTAACTTCGTGTCTGTCATGTCAAACAGCCGAGTGGAAACAAAAGTCTCTGTGGTTCCAGTGTCGATCAAGAAACTAACTGCCGTGTCCATTATTTCCCCTCGGATGTAAAGTCCCAACTCTTGAGATGAAGCAGGTTGTTTCCTCAAGCCAGACTTCGGCGGGACTGCCTGCTCCTGCGGCGAGGCTGCCTGCACCGTCGGCGAGACTGCCTGCGCCGGCGGCGAGGCTGTCCGTGCCGGCGGCGGGACTGCCTGCACCGGCGGGGAGGCTGCCTGCCTCATGCTGGTCTTCAGTGGGCACCGTGCTCGGAGATGCTCCAGACTCCCGCACTTCCAGCAACCTGCCTTCCATTCCTTGGGTTTTCTTTCCACCAGGCTGCGGCGCTGCATCTCCAAGAGCTCCCGCAGAATCCACAGTATCTGGTCAGTGGCCGTGGATCTAAGGGTTTCCTCCTTTTCGGGACAAGGAAAGATTGCACGCGACCACCCAACTTGTTCTGCCTTGCATCACGCCTCTTCTTCGGCCGCGATTTCAACTGTTTCATCGAGGGTCGAGGGCTTTCTCCCATCAAAATGCACCAAGTAATCCTCAATGTACGATGACCCATCGTACTCCCGAGCTCTGACACACGACGTCGCTCCGGTACGTTCCACGTCAGCGTGCTGGCCATCCCCATGAAAAGCACTGGATCCGCTAGCAGCAGTATCAGTGTGCACTGCTGTGTGCCTGCCCACATGACGAGGCTCGCAACCGCTGCGTTCTCCGGTAGGACTCGTCGGGGATCGACGGCAACTAACGTCAGGGCGGTGCTCACCTTCGCTGTCCGACTCACTGCACGCCGCCCGCCACTGTGCCTGAAGATCACCCACTACACTGCACGACTTTCTCCGCCTTCCAGTATCGTCCCTAGTCGATAGGCTCGGCGTCACTGGCACAACATGCCGAGGCTGATGTCCGGTCGTGGACCCGGTCGTATTTCTGCGTAAACTGTCCAGCAGGGACCGCTGCAGCCAATCGATTTCCATAAAAAAATGGCGCCGATGGCTTCATCGATACACCGTGCCGACTCCGTGTAGCTTGCCATACTTCTTCCTCGAAAATCCTGTAGAAAATCCTGACTCTGCCACCAATTGTAACGTGAACTTATTGGGTTCTTGTCCTCCGAGTCCAGCCAAAGGCAAGAAAAGGGGACAAACACACAGGATTTCCAACTTCTGAAGAAACTCTCATTTATTCAGCAAAACAATTCTGTGGTCAACCTGCCACACTGCTACCAGTACCACGACTGCTGATTCCCAGCATAGAAATACACACAGTCTGAACAAATGTATACAATTGTAACAACTTGCAATGACCCCGGCATCTTGCCAAACCTTTCCCGCGTCCCCCAACAAAAGAAACCCACTTAAGCAACCTATTTATAGAGCCTATTTCCTGAGCGCGCGCTAGCCAGACTCAGGTGCGCGCCGCCGGAGCCAGACTCGGGTGCGCGCCGCCTGAGCCGGCCTCCGCCGGAGCACTAGTGCTAGAAGCAATGACATTAAAAGTACTTCATAGACTGTCCGTTACAGAACGAATGAAGGATAATTGCACACAAGGCTTACAGTAAAAAGTTTCGCTGTTTGAAGTACTTGACTGTTTACATGATGACAAATGACTACTTTTACATAATTGGCATTTTCTCAGCAGCACACAAAAGTGCTTTTTTTCATGATGATTTTTTCCCGTATTTGAAAGAAAAAGCTCTCGGCAAAACATAAGAATCCACCCATCCCTTTTTGTTTTTAAAGCGAATGTTTTAGGGTTGCATTTTTTGGGGTCACCCTGTGCATGTACATGCATGCAAATGGCATCTATTCCCCTTATGATTTCATTTTACTTGGCCGTATTCGGTTGGGTTGGTTGGAGTTGGTTGGCGGTGGGTTAGGTTGCGTTCGCTTTGGTTGTGAGGGGTTGAGTGAAATGGGCTTGGTTAGGTAGGGTTTGGATTGGTGGGTTGGGCTTGGTTCGGCTAAAGCCTATAGGCTCGAGCCAGTTTGGCCTTGGGTTTAATCAAACATGAAAAGGAAACGCATGTAGCAGACCTTTGAAAATACAGCATTGGAATTGGACATAGGCCTACATGTACCCGATACAAAAATCCCCAAACCCAGCATATACTGTGTGGGTTGAAGGGTTGAGTAAATACCTGTTCAATGGCATGAAATTCTATAGGGCTAGAAACGCTGAAGCGCAACAAAACAACCGACAAAAATAGTTCATTGAATTAGCTTGCGGGGTAAAGACCTTTTCGTAGCTATGGGGGAAAAAAGCCCGAACAATCAGTTACCGAATAGTGATAAAGAGATGCCCTTTTGCCTCTGTTGTCCAGCGGTCACACAATGGCATGACCGGGGATCACAAAGGGAGCAAATAATCCAGAATTCCTTGACACATGTGATGCAGGGGTTTGATTACATGCCAAAAACTGCCGAGCTGACTAACCAGCCATGAAGAATTTCAAGGTTCTAGTTGTTGTTTTTTCCTTTTCTCGTGCCACCCTTCCGGTAGTAGGTGCGTACTTCCGGCATCTGTGACGAAGGTTGTGGGCGGAAACTTCCTCTCCTGTGACTTAATATTGCAGTTTTCGACGAATTCTCTCGATGATTACTCAGCGAATTTGGAAAACTATAACTGCTCGCCTCGAAAGAGTAGTAATTAAAGTGTAATTACCAACTGCAATGTAATCTGGCGTCTTAAAACGGTCCCGTTTTGTTAAGACCGACCTCTAAATTCTGACACATTTCGCTGAAAAAATGTGAAAAAAAGAAAATTGGGAGTCCGAAAAGTATTTATCGAGAAACGAGAAATTCTAGTCCTCGATCTCAATCTACGCCCTGCTTAGACAGAAACAATAACTAGGAAAAGTCAACCTAAATGAAGGAATCAAAGTTGAAGATGAGTTAAGAGGATGAGTATTCATTCAGGGCTCACCAAAAGGGGGGGGGGGGAAGCGGCGTAAAACACACTCCTTCTTGATTTCACCCCACTGCTTATAACACCTGCTTTTGATAGGGGGACGGGCCATTAGATTGACCCTCCCCAACCTTTACACTAAATAATGCAAACTTCCGTCTGAAACCATGACCTCACTAAGAAAGTAAAATCCTCATTAGAAAAGGTGATTAAAGAACAGAATCGCATAATATGGCAATTCTGAGGGGTCTTCCGGTATTCTGTGATGTTATTCTATACAGTCAAAGCATATGGGGTTGAGCTTTTTCACAGAAGATCCCCTTAAAAATAATAGACTAACTTCAAAGCAGAGGCCATCGCAATAACCTTTTGTTGGTTTTGGCAATACGTTTTTTTTATCGGCAACTCACGTTACTAGAAAAAGACATGGCATAAATTTAAATACCCTACATTTGAACGTTTCCTGAAACTTTGCACGGATGGAAAATATTTCCAGTGTCCTTACATCATTAGGGTGTATTAAGTTATCTGCTTCTATTTCAATTATTAAAAAGCAACAGTGACTTCAAAATTCTTACCCAGTCATTGGTGTTGCGTCAAAATTGTACCCTACAAATGACCACCCTTTCGTTTGACCCCCAGGGGCTCTGCTTACAAATAGTGCTGTCATGCAGGCCAAGAGACTGGCCGTGTTTGAATGTTACAAATGTCATGTCGTATATTTGTACACGTACCATACACACAACACACATCGCGACATTGCAATTCAATCATCGACCTATTTGTCACAAATATCCAATGCTGTAAATGCCTCATACAGCTCACGTTTTCTCAATGGCGTATTTTATTAACCAGTGCATCTTGAAAGGTAAATAATTACTTCTAAATAAAGGTATCGATCGGCGATTTCGAATCCCACTCTCGCAGCACGTTCGTTAGTCCTCTAACAACCATCTTGAATGTTACTGTCGATTTAGAGAACGTTCTTTAGGCAACATTGGGCAATGTTTACTCATTAGGGGGTAATATTTACCCATCTGAGAGCACATATGCCTGTTTTGTTGTACGTTGCAAGGTCAAATGTGCTTTCTTACACTACGTTGTTTACAATTTGAACTTTTTCGGTTGCACAATCAAAGGGTCAACTTTCGCTTTGGAAGGGTACTGGCAAAATCGTCACTTAACCTATAATTGGGTAAGAAAGTACTCAACTTTTGTACGCAACACATTTACTCAGCAATTTCTGACACTTCTTTTTTTAGAGTGCATCTTTTGTACAAGTAAAAACACATGAAAAAAAATCAATAAAAAGAAATCTTTGCACACAAAATGTGACCTTTAATTCTTAATTAAATACTCTGCCTTAAATACTCTGCCTCGCATGTTCAAACATTTGCCACAAGGACTACCAAAAATCTATAATTGGACCCCCCCCCAAAAAAACACTGTTTCTTTGGACAAAAAAGTACGCTCACTGCCAAATCGCTCATGAAAGGTCATAAGACTCGGCTTTTAAGCGGGCGGAGTATACGTACGACCAAGAATACCTGTGAGTCTAGAAAAAGGAAACCTTTCTTACCAGATCTGCCAGGGTGTTTCGAAACATGGCGGCGGTGTCTAGCAATTCATCCAAGAAATTCTCCTAATAATCTCACAGTTTGACGATTGACCAGTTCTCGAGGCCCAACCCTTCTCTGTCAGAAACAACACTGACAACTGCACACAGCGTTATCCTATAAATGTGTGGGAACCGGCTTGATACTTTCACGATCAGTTGCTAGTGCGCATGTCACTGCGTGGTTTTTTTTACACGGAAGGACACGCTCACATGCCCGTCTTGAAAAAAAGGTGACATGGTCCAGTGCCGCGATTACAATGTAAACACCAACAGGGGTACAGAACCGGTGGGAATTTCTGAAAAAAACCCAACCCACCAAAACCCTCACTGGAAAGAAATTTTGTTCAATGAATTCCAATTTTATCTACACTCAGTGCAATTTCCCCGTCAGACATTTTGAAAGTCAGAAATGTTCTCACGAGGCTCGGTGTCATAACATGAAAAATCTAACGGCGACTGGTTAATTATTGTGGACTGCTGTGATATGTGGGATATGACGTTCTGAACACCCGAGGGGCGCATAGCACCCAAGGCGAATTCTTTGGATTTTGATGTAAAAATGACGAAAACAAACAGCAGTAAACACAACAATCATGACAAACGAACGTCAACTCACATGCATGTAGCGTGCTCTAAACAGCTGATCGTCTGCTAGTTCGCTGCTCCCACTCATGTGTGAAAACAAGGTGAAGTACAAGCTCATCATGCATTGTTTAACAATAGTTGTCCGTCAATCTTGTCAAAATTGAAAGCATATTGCCAAACGTTAATGACTCTTCCCTGGATCTTTTTTTCCCAGGACAGTCCGAGCATGGAGTTTTATTTGTCAGAGTGTATGGAGCATTGTGTGCATGACATATGGGGTATGTTTCGGTTCACCCATCGCAGTGGTCGGTTGTATATACAGTAGCTACATCGCCAACAAATCATCAGCCACATGTAAGTCAGAGTACCTTCAAGCCAAGCATGTGGTTCAAACCAAACCCAGACAGATGAAGGAATCATGATGGTAGAAGAAAGCCCAAGAGTTGCAGGAAGCTGCAGACACACACAACTCCAAGCTACTTAGCAGAAATCCTCACTCGCTGGGCTGAGCACTTCAACTGCCTCCTAAACCGGCCATCATCTATGTCGGTAGATGCACTGGATGTTATACCTCAGAGATAGATCCTCGACGACCTGGACCTGCCCCCTTCATCGCATGAGGTCTGCAAGGCCATCAAACAGACTTCATCAGGCAAGTCCCCTGGCGCTGATGGAATCCCTGCCGAGATATACAAACATGGAGGTGATTACCTGAAGAGGAAACTTACTCATCTGTTGGTGAGTCTTATCTGGAAACAGGGCTCAGTCCCCCAGGACTTCAAAGACGCATCAATAGTACATCTCTACAAACGCAAGGGTGACCGCACTTGCTGCGACAATCATCGGGGCATCTCCCTTCTCTCGATTGCTGGAAAGATCCTGGCACGTATCATACTCAACAGAATGACAGAGCAACTGGTAGGCACCATTTACCCCGAATCACAATGTGGGTTTAGACCAGGCAGGGGCACCACAGACATGATATTTGCTGTCAGACAAATACAAGAGAAATGTCAGGAGCAAAATCAAGACCTATACATGGTATTTGTGGACCCTACAAAGGCGTTTGACACCGTGAACCGTGAGGGCCTCTGGAAAATCCTCCTCAAGCTTGGATGTCCTGACAAGTTTGTCTCTCTCATTAGATCCCTCCATGAAGGGATGTTGGTTAGAGTGTAGAACGTCATCAGACCCATTCCCCGTCACAATGGAACCAAGCAGGGTTGCGTCCTTGCCCCTACCCTCTTCTCCATTGTGTTTTCACTCATGTTGTTCGATGCATTCCACAACATGGACAAAGGAGTGTACATACAGTTTAGATCTGATGGAGGGTTTTTCAACCTTAGACGACTACAGGCTCGCACTAAGGTGCTGGAGATGCTGATAAAGGACATGCTTTTTGCAGATGATTGTGCACTAGTGGCCCACACTCTTGAGGACATACAATTCATCACAGACATGTTCTCTCGTGCATCTAGCAGATACGGACTCACAATCAGCATAAAAAAGACCGACGTGATGTACCAGCCTGCTCCAGGTAAGAACCACTATCACCCAGTTGTAACTAGTGGCGGAAAGTGTTTAGTTGTGACGTCATACCATAGCACTAACGCTTAATCACTTGTGTGCAGTGACCGGGCGGAGCTTACGAGCTCCGTGGGCTGCTGCGCGTACATGATTGGCCAAGTACTCCCATAGGTTTAGCGCACCATAGGGTTAGTACATGCACGTGGTTTGTAGACATGACGTAGCGTCTACATGTACCTGGTATATAAATGCGTGCCTTGCAAGCACACTCTGTGGTTTAGCGGTTTGGTTTTAGAAGGCGCTCTGTTTTGTTGTTGGGACTGATTGATACAGTTGTGGTGATCGTTGTTAGGTGAGATACTACAGCTGGTTGTGTGTCTAGTTTCGGGGCTCAGCTGTTTTAGGTGTTGAGTGCCGGGTGTCTGGAGATAGCGGGCAAGAGCGTAGCTGCGACAGCGGGCAGAGAAGTAGGTAAATTGCTTGTACTCTGCATGTGTAATTGCTGAGCGAAATTACTCAGCAAACCTGAGCGAAATTACTGTGTCACTCGTAAAGAGTTGTTGGCTGTGGTTGTGTACTTGAAGTATTTCAAACAATACTTGTACGGCCGCAGGTTGACGGTCAGAACTGACCATGCCGCATTGCGGTGGGTACTTAATTTTAAGAACCCCGAGGGTCAGCTGGCGAGGTGGATTGAGGTCCTGTATCAATATGACTTGGTCATTGAGCACAGGAGTGGCAAGAAGCATGGTAATGCTGGTGGGTTGTCGAGACGGCAAGGCAAACAGTGCGGCCGTGAGGAGGTGGTCAAGGAGGATGAGGCAACCGGTGTGGTACCCGAGGTTCAGCCTCAGGGGAGTGAGTTTGTGGTTAGGGCCGTAGCTGCCCAACCAACCCTGTCCCGCAGTGCTTTAAAGGAAGCACAGTCACAGGATGACACCATGAGTTGGCTCATGAAGTTGAAGGAGGACGGTGATAGTCGCCCTGAGTGGAAGACGGTCTCGCACTTGTCGGCAGCCTGTAAGACCTATTGGTCACAGTGGGACCAGTTAGAGGTCCGGGAAGGAGTTCTACATAGGAGGTGGGACTCCGACGACGGAAAGTCCATCCGGTAGCTGTTGGTTTTGCCACTGAAATTTAGGAAGAAAATTCTGTCAGAGTTGCATGGTGGGCAACTTAGTGGTTATTTGGGGATCAGCAAAACTCTGGCCAAAGTCAAAGCCAGGTACTTCTGGCCAGGCATGTCTGCAGACGTGCGGTCTTTTCTCCGAGGTTGCAATGTCTGTGCCAGGAGAAAGTCGGCTGCCAAGAAGAGGGTTGCGCCCCTACAGCAGTATCGAGTTGGTGTTCCGATGGAGCGAGTAGCAATATACTTGCTCGGGCCATTGCCCGTCACGGACAATGGTAATCGTTGGGTGTTGGTGGTTGGCGACTACTGCACTAAGTGGATGGAAGCATTTCCGCTTCCTAAACCTACTACAGTTACCGTCGCGCACACTTTGGTGACTGAGATTGTCTGTCGATTCGGGGTGCCCCAAGAACTTCACTCTGATCAGGGCACAAACTTTGAGTCAGAAGTGTTCAGGAAAATGTGCCAAATTCTCGGCATATCGTGGCGATGCTGATTGACCCTAGGCGTAGGCAGAAGGACTGGGATGAGTTCCTCCCCTTTGCGACCTTCGCTTATAGGTGCACGCCGCAAGACTCGATTGGGGTATCGCCCAACATGATGAAGTTGGGGCGAGAGGTGAATGTCCCAGTGGATCTGGTGACAGGGTGTCCTGAGGTTGAGGTTGAAGCCACTGCAGACTTCGCTGAAACATTGCGAAGTAATATGCAGGAGGCCCACAATGGGGCGAGGAATTGTCTCAGGAAAAGTGCCCGGAGGCAAAAGAAGAATTTTGACAGGAGAGCGTTTCAACATGGGTTGAAGGAGGGCCAATTTGTGTGGCTACACAACCCTGCGAAGAAAAAGCACTTGTCCCCCAAACTCCAACTTAGGTGGGAAGGACCATGGCTTGTTGTCAAGAAGTTGTCAGATGTGACAGTTCGCATCCAGCTTAAGCGTAATGGCAAGCCAAAGGTGGTCCGACTAAAGCCATATGTCGGTGAGGCAATCAAACCGTGGGATTGTCATTCCAGGGAATAGGTGACGGAAAGCCTCCCCATGGATGAAATCCCCGAAGTTCATGATGACCAAGAGTCGTCAGATGAGTTGGCCGAAGTGGCCGAAGATGAGGTTCCTGTCATGGAGGATTCCATTACAGAGGAGTTCAATCCGGGTAGTCCAGCCAGTTAGGCAGAACGGTCAGATGAGTCACCACCAAGACGGTACCCAAAACGTGCATACAAATTGCCCCTGCGGTATCGTAAGTTTCCAGATTTGCTGTTGAGGTCGTCTAAGGGATGAGGCTCCAGTCTCCCCTGTTTCATCCCCCGCATCCTCCACTCCCCCACTGGAAGAGGTGGCGAGACAATCCCAGCCACGCCCCGAAGTGTCCCACGCCCCGAAGTGTCATGAGAGCTATCAACAACAAACCTCTTTAATTGGTAGAGAAGTTGTGCTACCTTGGCAGTGTCCTCTCAAACACAGTATCCCTCGATGAAGAAATCACTCAGCGGATCTCTAAGGCCAGCTCCTCATTTTGAAGACTCCGTCATCGTCTCTTGGCTGAGCATGGTGTGAAGCTAGCAACCAAGATTGCAGTATACAAGACCGTTGTCCTTACCTCCCTTCTTTACGGCTGTGAGACGTGGACTACTTACCGACGACACGACGACGCTTGAGATACAAGGACACACTCAAGCAAAACCTCATGGCTTGCAATATCGATACCCATGACTGGGAGGTGATAGCCCAGGAGCGAGGCGACTGGCGCCACACGTGTCATGAGGGCATAAAGACATTTGAGGCTAACCGAACAAGACAACTTAGAGAAAGGAGGGCAAGGAGAAAAGCCAACACTGGTACCACCTCAAGCAACGGATTTCCCTGCCGTACCTGCAACAGGGTCTGCGGATCCAGAATAGGTCTCCTTTCTCATGAAAAGACACACCGATGAGGACACAAGATGCCGCCGAACACCCATCCGTTGTCATCGACGAGGGACTCCATATATATATACAGGTACAATGAAAATGTAGACCAAGTGTATGAAGCCCGGGAAGGGACAGGGTGGATTTTTTTTTTGTAATTTGCGCACGAATTGCTAATACGTTCCCACGAATTACCAACTCGTTCCCACGAATTACTAACGCGTTCCCGGATGCGCGAGTTAGCAATTCGTTCCCACGATTTAGGAAATCGTGCGAACGAAATAGCAATTCGTGGGAACGAATTAACAATTCGTGCGAACGAAATAGCAATTCGTGCGAACGAAATAGCAATTCGTGCGAACGAAATAGCAATTCCTGCGAACGAGTTAGCAATTCGTGTGAACGAATTAGTAATTCGTGGGAACGAGTTAGCAATTCGTGGGAACGAATTAGCAAATTACAAAAACAAATTCCACCCTGTCCCTTCCTGGGCTTCATACAAGTGCGTCAGCCCAGGTGTGTAAGTTGTTAACGGCACACGGAACCCAAACGACTGTTGCCTCGAAGCTGTATCATATAAATCCTTCACACTTCACTGACCGTTCAAAGAACAACTTGGCGCCCACACCAACAACGCAACGTCGCGTTGGAAACATCTCTTATATTATTGAATTAAACAAATGGTATAATCGGGGCTGGTTTAAGGGTTGTGTGGCCCAGAGGATGCGGGGGCCCAAGTAGCGCGGAATCCTGGCTGCCTAGACGAGTAAAATTGCCGTATAGTCACTCACATTTTGTCAAGTAAAATTTTATTATAAAGTGTAAACTTCATTATTTTGGCCATCCAGATAATATATATACCATCTGCATCGCCCTTTATCCTTACTGTTGTAGAAAAATAATCAACACGTTATTAATTAAAGTTCAAATGAAGAGGAAAATAAATGGTAACATCTTAAAATTAACGTAACTACACGGGAGTTGTAATGCTCCGACAGTCTCGAAACATGTATAGACAATTACAGGCACGACATGATCACGGTACACACATGCAAGCATATTTTTGCATGTGATTTTGCTGACATTAAGCCGTGTTAAATGTCATTAAATTTAAACCATTGGTATTGCAACAGATGCAGTGCAGAAGGGACTGAAAGATGGCATCACGTGACCACATAACATCCAATTTTGAAAACAAACGTCACACGAATGTGTTTTGTCCAGCTGTCCGTCCGTCCGTTTTGTCTTGTATGGCATCCCCAGCTCAAGCAACCGCTTACCGTATTGGGATAGCCTCCATTTTCGCCTTTAATTTCAAGTAAATTCCACTTAATTGTTATTCACCGAGAACGTGTTAATTATTTACTTCGTATTTTATGAAATGTAAAATGGAAAGAAATGTGACATGTGAATGAAGGAATGAACGTAAACTATCACAATATGCATTTGCCACTGAAGGGGCCTGTATGATAGATGTGCCAGCGTGTCCAGACTGGCCCACTGATGCCTACACTAAAGGCTTTCAGTTTCAAGGTAATACATACTTAATACTACCCTGAAGGTCCTGGCCTAGTTCGGGTCCAATGCACCCCTCTCCATGTGAATGTTCAGCTGTCGACGTCAAGGTAGTTTACGAGTTAGCAGTATTGACCCTTTGATCCTTGCCATGTTTTTGTTCTCCCTCGTTTGAATTCGGTTTTTTGAAATTCACAAACTCCAAACCACCCACATTATATAGCAGATTGTCGTAAAAGTTGGTATCTAAAAATTATCACACAAATTCCTAAAAAACAATAAGTCGAAGGGCAAACTTAACCTGGGCAAGTCCACACAAGATCTTGTTGTCCTGCATTGCGTTGACATCTTTTGTTCAGAGGTCCACACAAAGACGGCAATGCAGGCATCCGGAGAGTCATCACCCGTTAGTGTCGACGAAAAAGTGTTCGGAAGAACTTCGGATTTGTTTCGGGAACAGGATGGATCCTGCCCATTTCCCCCACATGACATTGACGCCTGTAGGACCAAAAAATAGTCAGACTCTTTAGGCCTGGGATCCAGACTTAAATGCAGTGCATTAACATGCAATAGGCCTATTATTGTGTGTTTTCTCATGCGCTCAGCCAATCTGCGCGAACAGCTGAAAACGTCACGCAACGTGAAAACAAATGAAAACACAGAAGCTAGGAGGTCGCGTTCCAAGGGCAGTTTTCGATATTATTGTATTATTATTATTATTATTGGTTTATTAACACTTTAAACATCACAGCCCTAACTTAATTACGTTTAAAATACATTTGACATTCACAAAACCAAAATTAAAAGTTTTGTAGCAGTTCATTTAAATAAACAAAAAGGAAAAAAAAGACAACGATTACAGAGGACAGAAAATACATGAACAGTAAATGAACCATTTCAAAGTGATTATATCTGCTACGGGCTGTTAAAAAAGTAAGGCTTTACCCCTTGTTTTTTTTTTCAATTTTGGACAAAAATCAAACTGCTTCAAACATTTAAGATGCCTTAATGACCTTAGAACACATTTCAATTCGATTTCTGGACAGATGGGCTTCTCAAAATGAAAAATTCGGGGTAAAATCAGTCAAAAAACGACGATTTTATTCTCTAAAAATCGATTATTTTCCCAATTTTGTTTCCTTCAAAATATTGGGTGTTTGACGGTTGATTTTTGACAAAATTTTGTTAAAAGAGTAAGGCTGACCTCTTGTGTTTTTTTTTAATGTTGGCCAAAAATCAAATTGCTTCAAACTTGCTGAGAAGATGCCTAAAGGACATTAGAACACATTTCACGAAAATTCGGGCTAAAATCAGTCAAAAAACGATGATTTTATTCTCTAAAAAGCGATTATTTTCCCCAAAATCTTCAAAATGTTGGGTGTTTGAAGGTTGATTGATGCTCCTCTTGCCTTGAAAAGAATTTTTGCATTGTTTGGAGGAAAGTCGATTTTTGGCCAAATTTCGTTAAAAAAGTAAGGCTTACCCCTTTTTTTTTTCTTTTTTTTTTAAATTTTGGTCCCAAAATCAAATTGCTTTAAACTTGCTGGGAAGATGCCTTAAGGACCCTTGAACACATTTTAATTTGATTTCTGGACAGATGGGCTTCTCAAAATGAAATGTCGACGAAAATTCGGGGTAAATTCAGTCAAAAAACGATGATTTTATTCTCTAAAAAGCGATTATTTTTTCCCCAAAATTTTTCAAAATATTGGGTGTTTGAAGGTTGATTGATGCTCCTCTTGCCTTAAAAAGAATGTTTGCATTGTTTTGAGGAAAGTCAATTTTTGGCCAAATTTTGTTAAAAAAGTAAAGCTTACCCCTTGTGTTTTTTTTTTATTTTGGCCAAAAAATGAAATTGCTTCAAACTTGCTGGAAAGATGCCTTAAGGACCCTAGAACACATTTCAATTCGACTTCTGGACAGATGGGCTTCTCAAAATGAAATGTTGTCGAAAATTTGTGGTAAAATCAGTCAAAAATTATGAATTCTTTTCTCTAAAAATCGATGATTTTTCCCAAAATCTTTTCAATATTTGGTGTTTGAAGGTTGATTGATGCTCCTATTGCCTTGACAAGAGTTTCTGCATTGTTTGGAGGAATGTCAATTTTTGGCCAAACTTTGGTAAAAAAAAGTAAGGCCTTGTTTTTTTTTTTTTTTATTTTGGCCAAAAAACCAAATGGCTTCAAACTTGCTGGGAAGATGCCTATAGGACCCTAGAACACATTTCACGAAAATTCGGGCTAAAATCAGTCAAAAAACGATGATTTTATTCTCTAAAAAGCGATTATTTTCCCCAAAATCTTCAAATTGTTGGGTGTTTGAAGGTTGATTGATGCTCCTCTTGCCTTGAAAAGAATTTTTGTATTGTTTGGAGGAAAGTCGATTTTTGGCCAAATTTCGTTAAAAAAGTAAGGCTTACCCCTTGTTTTTTTTTTTTTTTTAAATTTTGGCCAAAAAATCAAATTGCTTTAAATTTGCTGGGAAGATGCCTAAAGGACCCTTGAACACATTTCAATTTGATTTCTGGACAGATGGGCTTCTCAAAATGAAATGTCGACGAAAGTTTGGGGTAAAATCAGTCAAAAATCGATGATTTTATCCTCTAAAAATGAATTATTTTACCCAAAATCTTTAAAGTATTGGGTGTTTGATGCTTGATTGATGCTCCTCTTGCCTTGAAAAGAATTTCTGCATTGTTTGGAGGAAAGTCAAGTTTTCACCAAATTTTGTTAAAAAGTAAGGCTTACCCCTTGTTTTTTTTTCAATTTTGGACAAAAATCAAACTGCTTCAAACATTTAAGATGCCTTAATGACCTTAGAACACATTACAATTCAATTTCTGGACAGATGGGCTTCTCAAAATGAAATGTTGTCGAAAATTTGGGGTAAAATCAGTCAAAAATTATGAATTCTTTTCTCTAAAAATCGATGATTTTTCCCAAAATCTTTTCAATATTTGGTGTTTGAAGGTTGATTGATGCTCCTATTGCCTTGACAAGAGCTTCTGCATTGTTTGGAGGAATGTCAATTTTTGGCCAAACTTTGGTAAAAAAAGTAAGGCCTTGTTTTTTTTTTTTTTTTTAATTTTGGCCAAAAAACCAAATTGCTTCAAAGTATTGGGTGTTTGACGGTTGATTTTTGGAAAAATTTTGTTAAAAAAGTAAGGCTGACCCTTTGTGTTTTTTTCAATGTTGGCCAAAGATCAAATTGCTTCAAACTTGCTGGGAAGATGCCTAAAGGACCCTAGAACACATTTCAATTCGAGCACATTTCAATTCGATTTCTGGACAGATGGGCTTCTCAAAATGAAATGTCGACGAAAATTTGGGGTGAAATCATAAATTTTGTATTTGTGCTATTTCTATGAAGTGAAAGTCTGATAATAAAGAAATGATAATAGAGTACAGGAAGAATCTAAAATCAATATGTACAATGCATAAATCTAAATATAAAGTGGACCTACAACCTTGTTTACCCAATGTACAGGCTCTGTCCTAATGCATTACAGAGGAATATACGCTACATTATCATATTTCATATATAGTATACATATTCTTTAACACATAGACATATAATTTCAAGATAATGATGTAATAGATTAAATTCAGCAGACACTCAGTTTTTCATCATTTTCAGGACCGTACTCTGATGTGCGAATAATTTCTCAACTAAGAGAATGGTTCTAAAAAGAACCAGTGGTATAAACTCGACGTTCCGGTCAGTATGCTCTGACCGTCTTCAGGAGAGTACCTAAACTCTTAGAAAGTAAACACCTAAGTAGTAAGTGCTATCACCTAAGACTTATGGGTCTCCTATCCTTCCTCTACTGAGACTGCAACCCTACTGTTCCACTAAAGACGGCACACCAAGCTTGCTCTAAGCTCCCAGCTACTTGGCATCCACTAGGATGCAACTTCACACTCCATCGATTTCGCTTTTACTACTTAGGTGTTTACTTTCTTAGAATTTCGGCACTCTCCTGAAGACGGTCAGAGCATACTGACCGGAACATCGAGTTTATACCTCTGGTTCTTTTCAGAACCATCATTCTTAGTTGAGAAATTATTCGCACACGGTGTTTCCGCAAACCTTTCATTTATAAATATCTCCACCATGCAAAGCCTCAAATCTCACTTAATGAAGATTTGTCTGCTTATCACGGAGTTAAACGTTATGATCATTAATATTTATTTTTGACAAGCGTAAACAGCCCCTACCCCCTCCCCGGCCCCAGCGTATGGTGTTTATGACAAAAAGGGATGGCTACCTTGTAGTCCAAGAAAGAATGCATTTCTACAGAACACCTTCGGTGTGCCATTTATATTTTTTAAGTATTTAAATCCATTAATTCGATTATTTTTTTTTGGCACTAAACTTGGATTACAAGAGTATTTCATACCTCTTAGATACATATACCAAAAATACCCTTAATTTCAGTGTTAATGAACTTTTTTTCAAAATTATTGTACATACCCGTAACCTTAAACGATGCATACACATATAGTGCAGTCTTCCCAAGCTGCGATTATAAAACTGAGTACAAGTCATTGGAAAAAAAAAACTGTACAAGAATACCACCACACACTATGGCGCAGATAAGCTTTCGCGTATACATGCCGAGTTATCAAGCGTATCAAGCTTGTGACGCGCAATGTGTGAATCTGGGTTAATTTGGAATTTGCCCCAGGCAAAGTGGGAATTCCAAAACTGCGCGACATGCAAAGTACATAGAATTAACGTTATTCCCATTCTACCCAGGTTCAGCAGTAGCGCAATGTAGGAATCGTAGTTTCAACTCCTCTTTACAATAGAAATTACATCAAATTTGACAGAAATTCCTACTTTGCCCAGGTTCAGTAGCAGCGCAATGCAGGAATATTAACCATGTGTTATTTTAACACCCCTGTTTTATTGCAAATCAATTCAACATTTTACGAAATTCCCGATTTGCCCAGGTTAAATAGTGGCGCAATGTAGGAATATTACCAATAGGTAATTTCAACACTCCTTATTTATAGCAGTTATATCAAATTGAAAGAAATTCCCAATTTGTCCAGGCTCAATGGAAGCGTAATGTAGGAATAATTAGCAATGTGTAAGGAAAAGTAAAAAAAAAAACGACCAAAATTCCCACTTTGCCCAGGTTCAGTAATAGCGCGATGTAGGAATATTACCAATGGGTGACTTCAACATCCCTTATCTATAGCAATAACAGCTACATTTGGCGCAAATTCACGCTTTGACCAGGGTCACTAGCAGTGCAATAAAGGAACATTAACAATGGGCTGTTTGGCTTGGGCACAGTATGCTTCTGTGTATATAAATGTTCGCATGACAATACTCAAAGTACGATGAAAACCTCGTACAGTCGTCAATATGTAAGTTTTGGCTGCATTTCCACTTTGCCAGGCAGCATTAAAATTAACTTCTCCATTGTAACCGACGCTAGATACACGAGACTTTTCAACGATGAGATTTTACGAAAACTGATTAAAATTGATTAATCATGTCAAAATCTTAATAGAAAGTCATGAACAATGTCATCGATACCATCAAAAACAACAACAAAAACCCCCAAAACCACAATTGTTTCGTTTTAAATAATGTTTTCATCAGTGATCACTATATGGGTATTTTGGGTACATTTTCATATCTATTCCAGTCGATAATTCCAAGTCTGGAAAGGATTTGAGAGGTTGCAATCTAATGTCCGGTAGGCATATTACAATCAAATGTTGGCACATCGTCACCCATAAACGTGTCCACAAACACCTCGATTAATTCGTCCTGTGGCGGGCATTCTCTGTACAAGGGTGCCGAGTAGTTCCCAAAATAAAACTCAAAGCAGCCGTGAAAAGTTTCATAAAATTGAGCCGGACAAGGGAAGGTCCCGTTGTTAAAAGTCGTCGACGGATCCTCGACGCAGTCTTTGTACCTATCCACGGCGAATTCCAGCTCGTCAAACTTCTCCCCGTCGAAGCTTTCATTGCCGAGGCAGACACAGCCCCGGTTGATTTCGTTGACGAAGTTAACAGGAAGGTCATAACCAAAGGTGTCGTAAAGTTCCTGGTACAGCTCGTCGGCACAAGGGCACGTTCCGTTCCACCCATCCGGCGGATCACGCCTTCCAAACAGGTTGTCCAAGCAGATATCGAAGTAGTCCAACACCTCCGGCTCTGGGCAAATGAAGGTCTCGTTGGTGCTGCTCGGTAGCAAGTCACTATACAGCTCAATCAGGCAGTGTGTTAAGAGCGGGAAAGGAAAATCTTTGACAAACCCACACAGGTCCATAGAAGGCATTCCGCTGAGACTCTCAGCAGAATTGTTGCCGACGAAGTAGCGGCGATCGTTGCAGACGCAGTCTGGAGGCTCCTCCCGCCCAAACGTCGCCTCAAGCATCTCCAGAAAATCGTCCAAACATGGACAATCCTCGGGAGAGAGATGAGGATAACTTTCGGCGTCGGGATTGCCAAAATGGTACTCAGTACAAAGCCACATCTCTTGGGTCACTGCCTCATCGGGACATATTGAATCATCGCTTGGATTGTCCAAGCAATACAGTAGCCGGGGGTAAGCAAAGCCGTTATAACAGCCACGACGTCCTTGTGCACCAGCTAAAGATGGGAGCAATTCTATTGGTAGCAATGATTCAGAACTGTATGAGAAACCATGGTCACGTTTACGTCTCCTCTTACCGCAACCGCAGCCGCCAATAATATAATCGAACAAAAAATCTCCATCAAGGAAGGTCAAAAACGACGGGCAATACATCGGCGGTGCCTTGCAAACACCGCTGGCGTTTCCGGTAAAAGTCTGACCATTCAAGACAACACTACCGAAATGGTAATCTAAACACTCAGCATGCTGTTGTACAACTTCGGCGGGTGGACACTCGACATCGTCTGAGACGGTTCGAGTGGCGTTGTCACCAATCGCCAGGCACTCACGGAATGTAGTTGACGTGAATATTTCGAGCACGATGGGGGAAGTTGGGTTATCGGTACCAAACGTATCGTTGATTTCGCGGTATAACTCTTCCAGGGAGGGGCAAGATGTCGACTGTGTAAGGTTACAATGACTTCTGCTCTCAAGAATTCGATAGTGGTGCTCCAGGCATTCAACGTAGTAATCTAAGGTAGTGGAGTCCGGGCACTCAAATCCATCCGGACCCGCGGGATATGGCTCATCGATGAAAACCAGACAAAAAGGAAACCTTGGGTAGGGGAAATCACGATGCCAATAGTCCACTATTTGGTCGTTATGTGGAAAGTCTAACCTTAACTTGTTACGCCTGTACTCAAATGCATGGCAATGTAGAATTGGTCCTGGAACAGTTGACAGCTCAGCTGTGGTAGGAATTTCCGTGGTTGTTGGCATCTCCGTAGTGGTGGGAATTGCCGTGGTTGTTGGCAACTCCGTGGTGGTAGGAACTTCTGTGGTTGTTGGCAGTTCCGTAGTGGTGGGAATTCCCGTGGTTGTTGGCATCTCCGTAGTGGTGGGAATGTCCGTGGTTGTTGGCAACTCCGTAGTGGTAGGAATTTCCGTGGTGGTGGGAATTCCTGTGGTTGTTGGCAATTCCGTAGTGGTGGGAATTCCCATGGTTGTTGGCATTTTCGTAGTGGTGGGAATTTCCGTGGTTGTTGGCAACTCCGTAGTGGTAGGAATTTCCGTGGTGGTGGGAATACCTGTGGTTGTTGGCAACTCCGCAGTGGTGGGAATTGCTGGGGTTGTTGGCAATATTGCAGTTGTAGATAGCTCCGCTGTTGTTGCCAACACGGTTGTGGTTGGCATTGCTGTAGTTTGAGGCTCCTCGGTTGTCATCACCATTTCGGTGCTTATTTGCGCAACTGTGGGGTTTGACGTGGTTTCTGACAGCTCGACTGCGCTGGTCTTTGGAGCGGTGACAGGCAACTCGGTGGTGGAAGACATTTTCGCAGTTGACGTGATAGCGGGTAGTGCAGCTGTGGTTGGTTTTTCAGTGGTGGTGGATGTCTTAGTTGTGGCAAGGACTCCTGTGGTTTGGGATATTGTAGTGGTCAAGGGCTTTCCAGTGGTAGTGGCAGGCTGCGTCGGTATCATTGTGGTGGTTGGAGCTGCAATAAAAAAAAGAACAACAACGCAATTGTACTTGAAATAAAATGTAATATTTGATGGATTCAGAAATTGTTTGAAACCAACGTAAATATATCCTTTGTGGCTTAAAAGGCTCACTCCCAGAAGTACATACCTTGGCATGACGGTGGTAGAAAGCCGTCTGGACAACTGCAAGCACACACATCGATCGCTCTGTTCACCGTTCCTCCGTTGAAACAGTACAGATTACACACTGAAACAGGGACAGGGTTTCATAATATCAACGGGTATTAATTCCAGACGAATATACCAGCAAACAAAAATCACGAGACCTAATTTGAGCTGGTCTACTACTAAAACACGGTCATATAAAAAGGACATAATGGAAGTCAAACGATTATGAAAGCACGGTTTTACAGAATTAGTTGCCGGGTGTATAGGTTTAAGTTAAAATGCTAAGCGGCCACTATCTCACATATCTTTTATTATGAAGGTTCCTTGTTTGTCTGGCATTAAATGGATGGACAAGCATACATTCGTATAATATCAAAGCTGTACCATCCTTTGAAACTTAGTTCTGAAAAGTTCCGGGTCATTTTTGATCCGTCCTGGTTCTGTTTGGCCTGATGATTTCCAGGGTCAAAATGACAGTTTTCTAGGCCAAAATAATACTCTTGCCAAGATCATTTTGACCCGGAAAGGTTCCATTTTGACCCTGAAGGGTACCAGGTCAAATATAGAAACCGAGGATTCCAAGTCAGATCTAATCCGGACGTTTTAGAGTGTATACCCAAAGGCTTGAAGAATCGGCGGCACAGCTCAAAAGACAAATCCTCACTAGGCCCGGAAGAAAAGTTGTCAAGAATTACCATCAAAGACGACAAGTGTGGACGGTACGAACACAAATTGGCCGAGGTTGCCGGTCTGCGCCTCTACCTCTAGCTTTGCTCGGAAGGTCTCTTTAAAGGGTATGTTGGCGTCCGTTGCCTGCGTGTAAATGCTTTCGAAGCGGATCCTGACGCTCCCGGGTCTATTGAAATGACATTAACGATGTTATGTGAGATTGCGAAAGCAGAACATTTGTCACCATTATTAGGACACAAAGAGCTCATCAGGCGCGTAGCCAGAGTTTTGTTTCGCAGAATATAGGTTTTCCCGGCTATTTTTGAAACAGTTTACATTCAAATTCACCACCTCTAACATTCAATTTCGCCCGAGAAAAATTGCACACGCTTTCAGCAAAACCGATTTAGTCATTTACCATCCAATTTCAAAGTTTGGTCAACCTCGTTAGTCACCGGGTCGAGAATATTCGTCATTGCAGATCAAATTCGTCTAAGCTGTTTCCGAATGGCAGCAGTCAGAGATCGAATTCGTCTTATATGAATCAATGAGACGAATTTGATTTCTGAATAACAAGGTTTGGCGTGGACGAGACAAAATCGAATACTCCGGGACGAAAACGTATAACCGTTGTTAGAATTTGCTTGAAATGAATTTAAAATTGTCTGACAAAAGACGAAATTAAACATTGGAAGGGCTCTCAATCGATGTTGATGGACGAATTTGAATATTAGAAACGGTGAATTTGAATGACAAACGCTTTAAAATTGCCGGGAAACCTATAGAATTTTCGTTCTGTTTATATTCAATCTCCAATATTTTGTCGTCCCGATTTTGTCTCTATCAGTGTTTTCTGTATTTGGTTTTGTCTTTAGCCTTCGTGTTTTATAAACACTGTATAATAGGCCTATACTCAGTATTATCCGAGGGCTTGCGAGAAAAATATATCACATGCTTACTCGGGTGGGACTCGAACCAACGACTTCATGCTTACTAGTGCATGACAATTCACAAGCTTACTTGGTGGCAGTGGCGTAGTCAGGAATTTTCAGTGGGGGGGGGGGGGGCGCTGTGAGGGGGGGGCTGGAATATTTCATGGGGGGGGTCATGTAGATCAATGATAATTTTTTTAGAAACTCAAAATCTCAGTAAAGGGGGGGGGGGCGCGATTTGGGGGCGACAAGGTTTCACGGGAGGGGGGAGGGGCTGTCGCCCCCACGCCCCCCCACCCCAGTGGCTACGCCGCTGCTCGGTGGGATTCAAACCAACGACCTCCTGCTTACTACTGCAGTTTTGGTCGAGGTACCCGCTGCCACATCAGACTCGAACCGGCCAATCGACCCTGGAAAGCTCTGTGGTTGAGTGGTATAAGTCTGCACTAGTAAGCAAGAGGTCGTGGGTTCAAGTCCCACCGAGTAAATTGTAATTTTTTCACTCGGAAGCCGTCGGACAACGCTGAACGTGCACACAGTTCCTTAAGGGTTAAGAGACAGGAAACACAATGGAACAATAGGGTTACCCGTGGCGAAAATCTTTAGAAATCAATAACGCTTTTGAGATTTCAATAGGAACAAAAGAAAACAATACAAGGGGAAAAAAAAGTCTACCCCATAATTATAGGTGTACGAGCATTACATTCACTATGGGGACTTCCGAACAAAAGATGTCCACATAAACCAGGTAGCAGCGACGCTGTGTGGACTTGCCCACGTCCACACAAGGTATTCCCCTCTCTGGAAAACAGGTTTAGGGGCATTTTGTGTAAGGTTTATTTGTGGCAAATTGAACAGAAACAGTAACTTAAAGGGAATCATAGAAAAAAATTGGGTTAAAAGAGTTTTTACAGTTTGAGTAAAATGACTTTTTTTACTGGTTTTTCTTAACTACACGAAAACGAAGGAATGTCCACACTGGGTATTCAAAACAAACATGGGTGTGTGAGGCTGTGGGAGTATACAGTGTTTATAAAATACGTCTGCGAAGGGCAAAACTCAATAAAACCCAATAAAACAAATAGCATTGGCTACGGCACTTATTTAAGAGCTACCGCCGGATTATCAGCTCAGCATCAAAATGAGGACCCCACACCTGTCCTGAGACAGTCTGAGTCACTAAGCATGACCACAAAAACCACAGATCTCTGAATAAACCAAAATAAATATTCAAACAGGAGGACACTTCCCTTTCGGAGTAAACATTCTGTTTCGGAACAAATAATCACTTGTCTCACTAGTCCTGGGGCGATATAAAATTTCGCAAGTTTTTTTGCTACAAAAGTGGAAACAAAATTTTGCGAGATTCTCTTACACTTCTCAATAAAAGTAGACTTCTGTAATTCTTATGTTCACGATGTATATAATCATGCCGATGTATATACTTATATAATGATTGAAATTGGGACTTGTTTTCAAAGAGAATAGTTGCTATATTGAATAGCAGTATAAACAATACAGGCATCATTGCATGTACATGTATATTATGTGTTACACCGCTGAGGTGCATGTGTCCAGCGAACTGCATTGGATCGGCCGGTTATGTTCAATTTTCGGTCGCCAGAGAGTGAAAGATTTTCTTTTTTGCTTACTCGTCGCTAACGGTTGCTAAAGTTCTGAATACTACTTACGTAACTTCATGTACGACAGTTTGCAAGTAACCCTCATCATTCATGTAAAGGTTGTCCATCTTTGAAAACGGGAGGGGGGGGGGAAGAAAAAATATACAACTGAGTTTAATTCCAATAGGCATGCTTCCTGTTTATCTTTCGAAAATGAAATGCAACTCGATGCCCTCCTCCCCCCCGAAAGTTTACTCAAGTATCCATTAAATTGTTCTCTAAATTCCACAGAGTGAAATTAGGGACTAGAGTGAAAATCACTCTCATTTTCGATTGACAAAGTCTAAAAAATGAACCACTTCAATCGAAGCTCGAGTGAAACCTCGAAATTTACGATTAAATAAATTTCACTCTAAAGTGTCTAGTCCCTAGTTTCTGACTGTGGGAGTGAATCTTCAGTCGAATGGAGTGAATTTTCACTCTTTATAATTTAGAGAGTGCGACCAAATGTTTTCAAACAACTGACAGCAAACAGTTTCAGGTAATCCGGATGCAAATGTTCATTAGCTGTACAGAGTAGGTTGCCTTTAATGGCGTCCTCTCTGATTATATCAAAACAAAATACAGCCTCACGCGATGTTATGCGAACGCTGCCATATTGGATTGAAAGTTAGGTAAAATCCAACCTCGTTCCCATGGGTACGAGATCTTGCTGCGCCATGTTGTTTCCCATCATGCCTTGCGCGATCTAGTGAAGGAACGCGCACGCGCCCATGGAGTCGAGGCTGGGTAAAATCTTAATTTTTGGAACTTGCGAAGAGAAATGAAAGCAAGTTCATTTATAATGAATTCCAGTCTGCTTCAATGAATAATTTTAAATTTGTAATTAACCATTCCCTTATGTTTATTTAAAAACAAAAACAATGACAGTACAAAAAGGCTGCATTATGCCTGCATAAATAGTCTGGCGCCATCCCATTACACAGTTAACAATTAATGAAATACATTCAGAGAACTCGACAAAAATGGCCAACTCGTGAATCAGGCCCATTAACACGCGAGCGTCGTGCACCCAGCTCTGTGCGCGTTCATGCGCCTTCCATGAGCGTTCGATTATCCCGAATGACCCGTGACCCATATCATAGTGCGCATGTGCAGTTGAAATACCGAACTGGCCTATTCAAAGTTGTTACTGCGGTGCTGCCACGCTCGCGCGCATGGTGCACGCGTTCGTAAAGACGAGGAGCGCCAGCATTTTGACAACTCCATTGGTCGAAGGACCCCGAAGTGCGTGCGGAAATACCTGAGCGCGGCTTGCGCGAGCCTGATGCCACCTCAGAAAATGGCTGTCGCCGGATTAATCTACAGACTAATTCTGCTCCTGTTATGTACATTCATTTCATTTTTTTCTTAAATCGCTATACGTTTCTAGGCTGATGGCTATTATTGCTCAGAGCCTCGCAAAGAACACAAAGATAGAGTCTGAAGGTTAGCCTACCTCCGTGATGAAATTTTGAGCCAAGGTCTGGTACTCCACCGTAGTTGGGTCGTTGTAGGCTGGAACGTACGGAATGTCAAAGGTCACGTTTCCGCCGACAAACTCTGTGATAAAATAATAGTCGCTTAAAGTCAATATATTGAGTTTGGCATCGTGCTCAAGTTTTTTTTTTATACAATGGGGCATGCGAAATAGTATCTTCGCATATTAGTATACAGGGTGGGTCAAATAGAAAGTGACCTAATGAGAAAACCATTTACGAAAATATGTGGCTCGCTTCATTTAAAGGGGCATTACGTCCTGGAATGCGCCCAGTTTGGTTGCAAAACGTAGTTTAAATGAAATGGAAAGATCATTTACAAGAAGGATGTAAGCGTCCACGCAACTATCCTTTAAGAGCTAGGCGTGTTTGTGTTGTTCTTACGAGAACTAAAATTATGACTCTCAAAAATTTGAGCTTTTGGGTGCTAGATGTAAATCCAGCCGCACAGTGCATCGCATTCTGTGGACGTGCGAGAATCATCATTTGTGTATTGGCGCCCTGTGATTTATGTGACATACACACAACGTCTTCCTACATTGATGGGACACGGCTGGAAATACGTATGCGTATGCCACAAAATGTCCACCACGTCCAATGTAAGCAACCGGTTTTAAGTCATTAGGTAAGTTTCATTTCAAGTAAATCTTCAAAAGAGGATAAGTGAACAATCGAAAACATAACATTTTCGGGGATTTCATGCCGCAGTGCCCCTTTAATTGTCACCATTACTTGAGACTGGATGACTCAACGTCTGATTAACAAGTAATCACAAATACCTAAGACAGTTTACCCATACCTATTGGCCGAGAGCCCGTCACGTGGGTGGTTTTCAACTGCTGATAAAACACTGCTGTTTTTTGTTTTGACATCGCTGCGTTCTGCGCCACATAAGCAGATTTTTTTAAAGTATTACTCGTGCGAGGCACAACCACGTAGCTAGAGGGGTGTTTAAAAAAAATGTTCAGTGAAAATAGTTGAATAAAATCGAGATCCGCCACTGACTGCGGGGTTTGAAAATTTACAGTCATTTGATTCGTCTTTTTGATCGCGTGCGTTTTTGCGTTACACCCCGTCGGAATTGTATTGTTTTTTTTTTCCAGTACAAAGTACACAGGGTGATTCAGTCGTCGTGGAGGTCATTGATCAATATAATAGGCCACCCTCACTGCGTTTCCAGTTTACTAAATTCCATTAGGTCAAGTACGTGCCGTTGAAATTGACGAAGTGTCGCTTCAGCGGATCTCCAAAGATTGTCCTTGTCAAAATATCAGAAACGCCCAGCAAAGCTCTACTGCGATGCTGTTGTTACTCAGTCGGCCATACAGAAAGAGACAAAATGCCCAGAGATTTGAATGCTTGGGTAGGAGAGATTTTTATCCCCCAATTTGTCCAGCCATGTGCACCTGAAAGAGTTGTTTGTCACTGTACTGTCACGCGACGATGCCGAATTTCGGGGCCAGATCCACCAAAGATTGACAAAGCGGCCCGAAGGCCGAATGGGAAGTGCGTCATTCCATGTCAGTCAGACCAACGCACTTTTTTACCTCATGTCTTCCAATTTTGATAAAAATTGCTGTGCTTGTAAGTCATGATGAGCATGGGCGTCGCGAGGGGGTGGGGGCAAGGGGGGCGCTTGCCCCCCTGGAAAAAGCAAAAAGAAAAAAGAAAGAAAAAGGAAGAAAAAAGAAAAAAGAATAAAGAAAAAGAGGCGCGAAATAGTCGTGTAAATTCAATGGGTTGTGGGGGGTGGCCCAAAATGTTCCTGCCCCCTCTAAAACTGATAAATCAAGAAAATGTTGAGAAATACAAGAATTATTTTGGGAAAAACATGTTTTGCCCCCCTCTAGAAAAAAATCATGGCGACGCCCATGCTGATGAGCAATGAATGCACACCAATTTTTAGCCCGATCCGACCTACCATGTGGTCAGGGCAGAAACCATAAAAACATTGACATTTTTAGAATAAAATACCACCCTTTTGGTAGAAATATGTCAAAACTATGTCAATTTTCATCGAATATATGCACATTTCGTATTAGAATAATAAGAATTGCATGCTCAAATCAACTCTTTAGTCAAAATTAAATTTTGAGAAAAGTAAGTCATGTGACCTTCAATATGTTATCGTGACCTGTGACCAAATTTATGTAATAATGTATCATTCCGAAAATCAACGAAATGAAAATGACTTGATGGAACACGTTTTCTTCTATCAGAATCCACTAAAAATCAATTGGGATCTTCAAAATTTACATCTTTATGACTATTTTTTGTACAGTTTGTAGGTTACAAAATAATGAGTCAATTTATAGACTTTAAATTAGAAATCCACCAACACAACTAACTATTCTGTTTCTAAAGCTACTTAAATTAATCTTGGTTTGGGAATTTCTCATGTTTAGGGCTGATGAGGTCTAACCAGGCTCATAATTTAAATCATCAGCAGTGGCGCACCCAGGATTTTGCTTTTTTGGGGGGGAGTTCATAGTTTTTGTTGTCAAATTTCTGTAGAAGATTGAAAAAACAAAAAATACTCAAAAATCAAACAAACAAATTGACAACCTTGGAGGGGGTTGGGTTCAAGCCCCATGAACCCAATGTATATGTACATTTGATATCCGGGGTGCAATATAGCTGTGCAATATATAAAATCGCACTGTTGTTGCTGTAGATACATGTAGACTAATCAGGGTCTAGGATTCAAGTTTGCTTGAAGATGGTACTCGATATCGCAATCAAAGTTACCTTACTCATTCAACACTGCGTTTCTTGAAATTTAATGACTCTCACAGACTTGGCATTTTGTTCCTTCGAGATAAATTTCACCTGGATGTGTGTCCGCTGTACTGGATGCGGGTAGAAAGCATAGAGCTGTTGCGTACCCTAAACAGTAACTGCTGATGACAATCGACTCTTAAGCATTCGGCGTCAAGTTTGCTTGAAGAAAAATTCGTTATCCCACTTGCGCTCGTGGAACACGGAATAATGTAGTGCGTCGGGTGGCATATGGGTCACAGCAGCATTGCATTGTTTCATATTCCTAGCGCGCTCGTGGGATAACTACCGGGTAATTATCAGTGGGGCTTGAGGGGCTTGAACCCAACCCCCTCCAAGGTTGTCAATTTGTTTGTTTGATTTTTGAGTAATTTTTGTTTTTTCAATCTTCTACAGAAACTTGACGACAAAAAACTATGAGCCCCCAAGCAAAATCCTGGGTGCGCCACTGCTGATAATTTATATTGTGAGTCATGTTAGACCTCATCAGCCTTAAAAATGAGAAATTCCCAAACCAAGATTAATTTAATTAGCTTTAGAAACAGAATAGTAAGTTGTGTTGGTGGATTTCTAATGTAAAGTCTATAAATTGACTCATTAAACCTACCAACTGTACAAAAATAGTCATAAAGTTGTAAATTTTGAAGACCCCAATGGATTTTCAGTGGATTCTGATAGAGGAAGACATGCTCTATCAAGTCATTTTCATTTCATTGATTTTCGGAATGATACATTGTTACATAAATTGGGTCAAAGGTCACGATAACATATTAAAGGTCACGTAACCTACTTTTCACAAAATTTAATTTTGACTAAAGAGTTGATTTGAGCATGCAAATCGTATTATTTTAATACCAAATTCGCATATATTCGATGAAAATTGGCATGGTTTTGACATATTTCTACCAACAGGGCGGTATTTTACTCTAAAAATGTCAATTTTTTTTGTGGTTTCTGCCCTGACCACATGGTAGGTCGGATCGGGCTAAAAAGTGGTGTGCATTCATTGCTCATCAGGACCTACAAGCACAGTAATTTTTATCAAAATTGGAAGACATGAGGTAAAAAAGTGCGTTGGTCTGACATGGAATGACCCAACTGGAGAAACTTTGACACGAACAGTTTGAACCTGGCGACGCAAAGAGTTTGAAAAGCTAAATAAAGAAATACTTACCAGTTTCGGGAGTAATCGCTAGAAAAAAAAAGACAGATGAAAAAAAAAATCGTTATTTTATAAAATTGAAATTCAAGCAAAGAAGATTGAAATCTTATTCATTTATTCAATGATTCAACGATTCATTTTCTACGGTGTCTGCGTAATAGGGGACAATCCCTCCAACAGTGGCGTAACCATAGGGGAAAGAGGGAGGGGGGGGGGGAGGGAAGTGCTCGAAGGCCCCCATTTGAAATCTTTAATTGCACACTAACAATATATATACGTTGCTCTCAGTGTCCCCCTTGAAAAATTGGTAAACCAACCCCCAGGTGCCCCCTAGCAGCTTGACCCTATACACCGCTCCCTAATACACCTGATACAACATATATTTTGGATACATTTGTATACAAAAAGTAAAAGGTCTATACTGTGAACACGCACCTGCTTGTTCTTGAGCCGTCAGCTGGGCTGTAAGAAAGAAAAGAAAGAACACTGCAGATGAGTGAAAATTACCAACAGGCGCCGTAGAAACACACTCTTTTAAGAAGATTTACTGAAACATACTTTTGGAAAAGAAATTCTCTATTTGTATTTAACGAGCATGTTCTTCAACTCTGTGAAGAAAACAAACAAAAGAATTACTGAAATTGATCTATGCAGTCGACAGCATATGTATATCTTACAGGTGTCCATTGAACACCATTTTGAAACCATTTTGAAACTTTCAGCTGAATGACAACCAGAGATTACGCACAGACTTTCAAATACAAATGAGACGTTAACTGTTTTGAGTCAAGACTGAAACACTATTTGTACTGTCATATTTTGTGCTTTGTATATGAGGAACAAATCAAATATTTTTATTCTGAAATGATGATGGTGACTTTTTGTCTTTTTTTCTTTGCAAGTTTTCGTTTATTCATGGTTCGTTATGTTTAAAGGTTATTCATCTATGCGTATATCGGTGAGTGATGAGTAGAGGACAGCTGATTTTTTATGTAATCTGTAATAAAATATATAAAAATTACTTGTAAATAGAGTAAGCATATTACGTGAAATTTTCACAGTAGCTAGTCGATAACATATACTGTATTCCTAAGTTAATTTCTGAATACATGGGCGAGCCACAAAACCTACAAAACCATTGCCCTCTAACTCCACCTTAACGTACAAGGGCTATTGGTGTGAGTTCCTCGACAATTAGGGTGTGTACATGTATAAACACTTACTGCTCAAGAAAATGGCGGGAAATATCCCTCCCACCAATAGCAGGATCACCACGATGACAACTATGAAACACAGGATAACTCGCTTGGTTCTCTCCTCCGGTGTAAAGCCACACCTCTTGCCGTACATGGAGCGTCTCCTGCGCCCCTCGTGACCCAAATCCTCCAATGGGATGTCCAGGACGTCCTCGTCCACCCCAAAACGAGGCCAGTGGTGAAACTGGCGGGTTCCCTGCAGGCCATCGGGCTGTGTGAACCCGTACACGATGTCATCGCTGGGGTTGTGCTGTGTGATCACAAAGTCAATAATCGATTAATATTAGCTGCTTTACCCCTGCGATGATGGGGCCAGGGGAAGGGGGGGGGGGGGAAACGGAACTCCTGACGTGTGCACAGGTCCACCGTTAGAAACTCGGGAAAAGCTTGACGATTTTTCACGTCACCCGCCCCTGCGAATTACATTGCCGGATCGTGTTTACACGTCCTCCGGCGTTAACTGTTTATAGACGCCATTTAAGGTTATAGACGCCATTTTAAACAGAATTGGTTTGCGTATTCAAGGATCAACAATACAATAACTCCGAAGCTGGTTATTAAAAACTGACCTGTCGAAATTCAGCTCAGTAGATATTATCATACTTTTGAGAAAACTGTAAAAATGTATCTTAATTTTTCTCGATGCAAAGCCCATGGGTAATTCCGTTGAAAGCGTGATGTTAGGTCCTCACCATCGCGAGGGAATGATGGTAATTCATCTTTTCTCAAAAAGGACAGCCTACTAAGCCCAATGATTTCGCAAACAAGTAGAATATTTTCATGATGCTTTGACAGTTTCACTTTTGAATATGCAGGGTGACTCCCTAAAAATGCAACCATAAAAAATTGCCTTTTCAAAAAGAGATCGGTTGATTGTTGTTCTGTTTTGGGTATCAGGTTCAAGCGGAGTGTTTTTTTTGTCAAATACTGAAAGAAAACATGTAAATAACACTTTGGGTTGCTGAGAAAATGCCAACATTTAAAAGTAGTCATTTTGTCATTCTGTGCACAAACAATTACCGCAGTAAGGGATTTTCACTGTACCTATTTGTGCATGTCCTAATCCTTACAAACACCACGGCACATAATATGACAAGATTACAAAATAAGTTTGATGGTAATACTTTTATTTTCCGCCCGAACAGATATTTCATCCTTTTAAGTCCGATTTTAAACCCTTTTCAGCATCATAAATATGTCAAAATATTAATGAAATTGAACAAATGAAGGATAATTGCACACAAGGCTTACAGTAAAAAGTTTCGCTGTTTGAAGTACTTGACTGTTTACATGATGACAAATGACTACTTTTACATAATTGGCATTTTCTCAGCAGCACACAAAAGTGCTTTTTTTGATGATGATTTTTTTCCGTATTTGAAAGAAAAAGCAAAAGCTCTCGGCGTTTATCTAATAGCCAAAACATAAGAATCCACCCATCCCTTTTTGTTTTTAAAGCGAATGTTTTAGGGTTGCATTTTTTGGGTCACCCTGTGCATGTACATGCATGCAAATGGCATCTATTACCCTTATGATTTCATTTTACTTGACCGTATTCGGTTGGGTTGGGTGGAGTTGGTTGGCGGTGGGTTATATGTTGGGTTCGCTTTGGTTGTGAGGGGTTGAGTGGAATGGGCTTGGTTAGGTAGGGTTTGGATTGGTGGGTTGGGATTGGTTGGGCTATAGGCTCAGGCCAGTTTAGCCGTGGGTTTAATCAAACATGAAAGGAAAGCGCTTGTTGCAGACCTTTGAAAATATGGCATTGGAATTGGACATAGGCCTACATGTACCCGATACAAAAATCCCCAAACCCAGCATATACTGTGTGGGTTGAAGGGTTGAGTAATATACCTGTTCAAGGGCATGAACTTCTATAGGGCTAGAAACGCTGAAGCGCAACAAAACAACCGACAAAGTAAAGACCTGTTTGTAGCTATGGGGGAAAAATTCCCGAACAATCAGTTACCGAATAGTGATAGAGAGATGCCCTTGTGCCTCTGTTGTCCAGCGGTCACACAATGGCATAACTGGATCATCACAAAGGGAGCAAATAATCCAGAAATCCTTGACACATGTAACGCAGGGGTTCGAATACGTGCAAAAAACTGCCGAGCTGACTAACCAGCCATGAAGAATTTCAAGGTTTCTAGTTGTTGTTTTTTCCATTTCTCGTGCCACCCTTTCGGTAGTACGTGCGTACTTCCGGCATCTGTGACGAAGGTTGTGGGCGGAAACTTCCTCTCCTGTGACTTAATATTGCAATTGTTCGACAAATTCTCTCCATGATTACTCAGCGAATTTGGAAAACTATAACCGCTCGCCTCGAAAGAGTTGAGTAGTAAAGTGTAATTACCAACTGCAATGCAATCTGGCGTCTTAAAACGGCCCCGTTTTGTTAAGACCGACCTCTAAATTCTGACACATTTCGCTGAAAAAATGTGAAAAAAAAAGAAAACTGCGAGTCCGAAAAGTATCTATCGAGAAACGAGAAATTCTAGTCCTCGATCTCAATCTACGCCGTGCTTAGACAGAAACAATAACTAGGACAAGTCAACCTAAATGAAGGAATCAAAGTTGAAGATGAGTTAAGAGGATGAGCATTCATTCAGGGCTCGCCAAAGGGGCGTAAAACACACCCCTTCTTGATTTCACCCCACTGCTTATAACACCTGCTTTTGATAGGGGGACGGGCCATTAGATTGACCCTCCCAAACCTTTACATGAAATAATGCAAACTTCCGTCTGAAACCATGACGACACCAAGAAAGTAAAATCGTCATTAGAAAAGGTGATTAAAGAACAGAAAAGCATAATATGGCAATTTCGTGGTGACGTAGTCACGTTACATTAGGTGGGGTCTTCCGGTATTCTGTGATGTTATTCTATACAGTCAATGGGCGTCGCGAGGGGGGGCAAGGGGGGGCACTTGCCCCCCCCCCGGAAAAGCAAAAAAAAAAAAAAAAAAAGGAAGAGAAAAAAAAAGAAAAAAAAAGAAAAGAAAAAGAGGCGCGAAGACAAAGTGGTGTAAATTTAATGAGTCGGGGGGGGGGGGGGCAAAATGTCCCTGCCCCCTCTAAAACTGATAAATCGAGAATGCGTTGAGAAATACAAGCATTTTTTGGGCAAAAAAAAATTTGCCCCCCTCTAGAAAAAATCCTGGCGACGCCCATGCAGTCAAAGCATATGGGGTGGAGCTTTTTTCAGAGAAGATCCCCTCAAAAATAATAGACTAACTTCAAAGCAGATGCCATCGCAATAACCTTTTGTTGGTTTTGGCAATACGTTTTTTTATCGGCAACTCACGTTACAAGAAAAAGACATGGCATAAATTCAAATACCCTATTTGAACGTTTCCTGAAACTTTGCACGGATGGAAAATATTTCCAGTGTCCTTACATCATTAGGGTGTATTAAGTTATATGCTTCTATTTCAATTATTAAAAAGCAACAGTGACTTCCAAATTCTTACCCAGTCAGTGGTGTTGCGTCAAAATTGTACCCTACAAATGACCCCCAGGGGGAAGGGGAAATCGTAGATATAATTCATCTTGCATAAAATATACCTTTGCAAGTTTACAAACTTCCACAAAACGTATTATTTTGCAACATTGGAACGTATAATTGGTTTGAACATTCTACCTTTTTATTGCTTATGTGAACTGTTACTATCAGGACAGTATTTCAGGACAGTCATCATGGATTGGACTGCTTGCATTATCTGCATGCAAACTACACCAGAAAAACTACGTTGTCTACAAAAAGGTTTAAATTGTAACGCCAGAGAAGTATATGCTCAATTCCTGGCTAATGTTGAAGGGTTTAGGGCAATAAATGCATTGCCAGTTGATGTAGAATACGAAGCCGAAGGGACAGTAGAAACTTTTGTGGAAAATAATGCCTCGTGGCATCATTCCTGAGGTAATCATTTATGAGATAATCATGACGTAAGACATTGCATTTTAACGAATCATTGATCACAACAGGGGATAGGAGCGAGGGTCAAATGTACATGTACATACATGTTTAATTTAATACATTAAATAAGGAAACATCCCTCATTTTATCAAACTATTTGTATTTAAATCTTTTAAAGATAGTCTAAGAACAAAGTTGGCAACTGCACTGATTTCCTTGATCTCAGAAACGTATATTAAATGTAAAAAAACCCCGATCCATGGCTTATTCCTAACTAATATCTCAATTTTAATGTATAAGTGTGTAATAATTAGCCGATGACGTCATAATGATGTCATAAATGGCCCTTCCCATCATCCCATTTTTTGCATCCTACCTTTTTTCGAAAAGGTAAACAATGGAGATGCTTTGGTGTGAAAATGGTGCTTTTGTCCACCCGTGTCACGATTTTATACTAAGGTACCTCACTTTTCCGCTTATCTTTGGAACAAGTTTAAACATTTAAGATACTAATAATCAATTACAAAAATTCTTTGGAATAGAATTTGAGCATTTCTTTCTGACTTAAAAATAACATCTCACAATACCACATACTGTTTGCATGTTAAAACAAAGTGTCAAAGTGACTACCCAAAATCCATGATTTTAGCCGGAAAAACTTGTTTTTTTTTACCAAAAAGGTTTTTTTTACCCACAAAATCACCCTCAACTATATTCCATCCCAATGACATACCACTCAAATGAAAGATCTTGTTGTCCCCTTTAATTTGATACCAAATGTTTTGTTGAGATGCTTGTAGTTCTGAAGATTATTATCAATTTATATTTTTTCATGTAATCATTAGCTGATGACGTCATAATGACGTCATACATGCCCTTCCCATTATCCATTTTTTTTCGTTTGTCTTTTTTTCGAAAAGGTATACCATGGAGATGCTTTGGTGAAAAAATGGTGCTTTTGTCCACTGTGTAACGACCCTTAGCACTTTTGTTACTAATGTACCTCACTATAACAAAAAGTGCTGTCATGCAGGCCAAGAGACTGGCGGTGTTTGAAATTTACAAAGGTCATGTACATTTTGTACACGTACGGTACCATACACACAACACACATCGCGACATTGCAATTCAATCATCGACCTATTTGTCACAAATATCCAATGCTGTAAATGCCTCATACAGCCCACGTTTTCTCAGTGGCGTATTTTATTAACCAGTGCATTTTAAAAGGTAAATAATTACTTCTAAATAAAGGTATCGATCGGCGATTTCGAATCCCACTCTCGCAGCACGTTCGTTAGTCCTCTAACAACCATCTTGAATGTTACTGTCGATTTAGAGAACGTTCTTTAGGCAACATTGGGCAATGTTTACTCATTAGGGGGTAATATTTACCCATCTGAGAGCACATATGCCTGTTTAGTTGTACGTTGCAAGGTCAAATGTGCTTTCTTACACTACGTTGTTTACAATTTGATTTTTTTTCGATTGCACAATCAAAGGGTCAAATTTCCCTTTGGAAGGGTACTGGCAAAATCGTCACTTAACCTATAATTGGGTAAGAAAGTACCCAACGTTTGACGCAACACATTTACTCAGCAATTTTTGACACTTCTTTTTTAGAGTGCATCTTTGGTACAAGTTAAAACATATGAAGCAAAAATCAATAAAAAGAAACCTTTGCGCATAAAATGTGACCTTTAATTCTCTCCGCCTTAAATACTCTGCCTTGCGTGTTCAAACAAGTTGCCACAAGGACAACCTAAAATCTATAATTGGACCCCCCCCCCAAAAACCCCCCCCCAGTTGTTTGACAAAAAAATACGCTCACTGCAAAATCGCTCATGTAAGGTCCTAAGACTCGGCTTTTAAGCGGCCGGAGCACGTACGACCAAGAATACCTGTGAGTCTAGAAAAAGGAATCCTTTCTTACCAGATCTGCCAGGGTGTTTCGAAACATGGCGGCGGTGTCTAGCAATTCATCCAAATTCTCCTAATAATCTCACAGTTTGACCATTGACCAGTTCTCGAGGCCCAACCCTTCTCTGTCAGAAACAACACTGACAACTGCACGCAGCGTTATCCTTTAAAAGTGTGGGAACCGGCTTGATACTTTCACGGTCGATCAGTTGCTAGTGCGCACGTCACTGCGTGGTTTCTTTTACACGGAAGGACACGCTCACATGCCCGTCTTGAAAAGAAAGGTGACATGGTCCAGTGCCGCGATTACAATGTGTAAACACCAACAGGGGTATAGAACCGGTGGGAATTTCTGAAGAAAAAACCCACCAAAACCCTCACTGGAAAGAAATATTGTTCAATGAATTCCAGTTGTATCTACACTCAGTGCAATTTCCCCGTCAGATCATGGGCGTCGCCAGGATATTTTCTAGAGGGGGGCAAAATTTGTTTTGGCCAAAAAAATGCTTGTATTTCTCAACACATTCTCGATTTATCAGTTTTAGAGGGGGGCAGGGACATTTTGCCCCCCACCCCAACTCATTAAATTTACACCACTTTGTCTTTGCGCCTCTTTTTTTTTCTTTTTTTCTTTTCTTTTTCTTCCTTTTTTTTTTTTTTTGCTTTTCCAGGGGGGGGGGGGGGGCAAGTGCCCCCCTTGCCCCCCCTCGCGACGCCCATGCGTCAGATATTTTGAAAGTCAGAAATGTTCTCACGAGGCTCGGTGTCATAACATGAAAAATCTAACGGCGACTGGTTAATTATTGTTGACTGCTGTGATATGTGGGATATGACGTTCTGAACACCAGAGGGTGCATAGCACCCAAGGCGAATTCTTTGGATTTTGATGTAAAAATCACGAAAACAAACAGCAGTATAAGCACAACAATCATGACAATCGAACGTCAACTCACATGCATGTAATGTGCTCTAAACAGCTGATCGTCTGCTAGTTCGCTGCTCCAACTCATGTGTGAAAACAAGGTGAAAATGGCATGGTACCAGCGATACAAGCGTTTCACACCGTGGGATATCAGAGTGTGTGCCATGACTTTTTATGAGCTAATCGTGATCGTTCTATAGGCCAATACAGTATTAAAACAGAGGTATAACAATATCACTTGAAATTGTTATCACCGAATGCTGACCAAATCGGTATATTTTTTTTCGAATGAGAATCGATTGAAAAAAAAATTAATAAAGTCTTAATACAACATCGACTTGTGAAGCTTGCAATCTCCAAGAGAGTTTTTGAATCCGAAGTTAGAACGAGTTCTGACCCAAACGTTTCAACTCGTGTACTCTGACTTTCAGTGGAGTACATCATGCATTGTTTAATAATAGTTGTCCGTCAATCTTGTCAAAATTGAAAGCATCTTGCCAAACGTAAATGACTCTTCCCGGATCTTTTTTCCGGGACAGTCCGATCATGGACTTTTATTTGTCAGAGTGTACGGAGCTTGTGTGCATGACATATGGGATATGTTTCGGTTCACCGATCGCAGTGTTCGGTTTTATAGAGTGCGTATATACAGGTACAATGAACGTGTTGACCAAGTGCGTCAGCCCAGGTGAGTAAGTTGTTAACGGCACACGGAACCCAAACGACTGTTGCCTCGGGGCCGTGCCATATAAATCCTTCACACTTCACTGACCTTTCAAAAAACTAATTGGCGCCCACACCAACAACGCAACGTCGCTTTGGAAATATCTCTTATATTATTGAATTAAACAAATGGTATAATCGGGGCCGGGTTAAGGGTTGTGTGGCCCAGAGGATGCGGGGCCCAAGTAGCGCGGAATCCTGGCTGCCTAGACGAGTAAAATTGCCGTATAGTCACTCACAGTTTGTCAAGTAAAATGTTATTTTAAAGTGTAAACTTTATTTTTTTTGGCCACCCAGATGATGTATATACCATGTGCATCGCCCTTTATTCTTACTGTTGTAGAAAAAAATCAACTCGTTATTAATTAAAGGTCAAATGAAGAGGAAAATAAATGGTAAATTCTTAAAATCAACGCAACTATATGGGAGTTGTAATGCTCCGACAGTCTCGAAACGTGTATAGACAATTACAGGCACGACATGATCACGGTACACACATGCAAGCATATGTTTGCATGTGATTTTGCCGTCATTAAGCCGTGTTAAATGTCATTAAATTGAAACCATTGGTATTGCAACAGATGCAGTGCAGCTGTCCGTCCGTCCGTTTTGTCTTGTATGGCATCCCCAGCTCCCGCTTACCGTACCGGGACATGCCTCCATTTTCACCTTTGTTTCAAGTAAATTCTTCATATCCACTTAATTGTTATTCACCGAGTACGTGTTAATTATTTACTTCGTATTTTATGATATGTAAATGGAAAGAAATGTGACGTGAATGAATGAATGAACATAAACTGTCACAATATGCCTTCGCCACTGAAGGGGCCTGTATGATAGATGTGCCAGCGTGCCCAGTCTGGCCCATTGTAATAGTTTGCCTGCACTGGGCTTTTCAGCTTCAAGGTAATAAATACTTAAATACTACCCTGAAGGTCCTGGCGTAGTTCGGGTCCAATGCACCCCTCTTCATGGAAAAGTTCAGCTGTCGACGTCAAGGTAGTTTACGAGTTAGCAGTATTGACGCTTTGATCCTTCCCATGTTTTTGTTCTCCCTCGTTTGAATTCGCTTTTTTGAAATACACAAACTCCACATTATATAGCAGATTGTCGTAAAAGTTGGTATCTAAAAACTTCTACGAAAAACCCCTACACTGGGGGATTTGTGTAGAAAATATCAAACAGTCGATTAACTTTGGCAGCGACACCAACTTTTACCACGAAAACGTGCTATTATTTCCGGACAATGCCAGCAGAACACATTTTTGTTGGCAGGGCCGGGGGGATTTTGTTTTTGTTCCCGAATAAACCAAATGTATTGCTGTTGTTGAGTTTTGTGAGTGGTGTACGCATTGTGAATATTCGAGAATAAAACTCGTTTGACGCGACCCACAAGGAATGCCGATGACGTAATTTTAACAGCGATTATAACAGCGATATCCGACTGAGGACGCCATTAATTCGCGTTTGATTGTGTTCAGTGGGAATTTCTGCGCGAGCTTAGTAGCATGAAAAGTACCCCCCCCACAACATTCTTTTGAAAAGAGAAACCGTTTGGCTTAAAAAAATTGTGTAAAATATAGCCGAGGATCAACTCCCTGGTTTTTGGGCTTCCATCTCCGGGCAGAATTGACAAAAGAATGGTTGAAATATGTTCCTATTTGCCTGAGAAAGTGAAGGGATGCCATGGTTGCGAGCTGCACACAGGGCCTAGGTCTTGGCCGACCATTAGGCCAAAAAAAAGTCTCCGGTTTCTGGTATTGAGCTTGCCCAAAAAGTGGTGCGGTGACGCGGCTTTTTTTCTTTTTTTTTACCTGATTTTTTTTGCTTCAAATGTCGGCTGATGACTGCAAATGGTGCCCGACTAAACTTAGTGCAAATATATGGAAGTCCAGAGAGGTCACATAAAGCTTATTCTCGACCATAACCCAATCTAAAAACGCGTTAAAATTGTGCAGCAGCAGGATTCCAGTCAAACCAGTGAGTTTGGCGGTTTTGAGACAACATCTTTCATTGAAAAAAAAAACCGTTTTCATTTTGCCGACGCGCATGGCTACGGCGACGCACGCGCATACCAGAAACCGGAATTTTTTTTTTGGCCTTAGGCTACTAACACTTTGTCGTTAAAGTTGGCGTCTAGAAATTTCTATGCAAAGCCCCTACTATACGGGGATTTGTGTAGAAAATATAAGACAGTAATTTATTACTCCCCAGCACGCTCAATCAACTTCGGCAGCAATCGCACGCCTTATTTTAAAGAATAAGTTAAGACAGGATCTAGGTACCAACTTTTACGACAACTTTTACGACAACGTGCTAATACTACAGTGGCGAATCTACGGGTGGTGAGTGGTCCAACCCTCCTCTTGCCTTGGGTAAAAAAAAAAAAAAACCCAGAGACGGAAGCCATTTTGCGACTGATTACCCTAACCCAAATTGTTGCTCAGAGATGGGCAAACTTAACCTGGGCAAGTCCACACAAGATCTTGTTGTCCTGCATTGCGTTGATATCTTTTGTTCAGAGGTCCACACAAAGACGGCAATGCAGGCATCCGGAGAGTCATCACCCGTTAGTGTCGACGAAAAAGTGTTCGGATTTGTTCCTGCCCATTTTCCCCACATGACATTGACGCCTGTAGGACCAAAAAATAGTCAGACTCTTTAGGTCTGGGATCCAGACTTAAATGCAGTGCATTAAAATGCAATAGGCCTATTATTGTGTGTTTCCTCATGCGCTCAGCCTATCAGCGCGAGAAGCTGAAAACGTCACGCCACGTGAAAACCAATGAAAACACAGAAGCAAGGAGGTCGCGTTCCAAGGGCAGTTTTCGATATTAATGTATTATTATTATTATTGGTTTATTAAAACTTTAAACATCACAGCCCTTAAGCTGATTTACGTTTAAAATACATTGGACATTCACAAAACAAACATTAAAAGTTTTGTAGCAGTTCATTTAAATAAACAAAAAGGAAAAAAAAAGACAACAATTACAGAGGACTGCAGAAAATACATGAAGAGTAAATGAACCATTTCGAAGTGATTATGGGCTCCGTGTGCAAAAAGGAGAGGGCGCTTATGAACCACATTCGAAAGCCCCACTCCCATAGATGCCCGGCCCCGTGGACGGGAAACACCGCGTGCGCGCACGAGAGGGCGCTATATACGCGCGCCAGGGACGTACGACTAATTATTTTCCGAATGTGCACAAAACCATAGCATCTGCGCTGGTCGGAATGCGTTCGAATGTCACTCCAGGTGGTCTCCCCGACTCTCCCTTCCTTACCGTTGAGGGGGTACTTGTGCACGGAGCCCACAGTCCAGGAGTCAATTTTAGTCAGTAACGACGTTCAAGAATGGAAAAAAAACAGCTAGCGTAAATTATCGTTCTCACAAAAACCCTAAATTCTTTAGGCCTATTCATTTCATGGGTTGTCTTGGTTTGTTTCGGTTTCAGTTGAGCTGTACCGTACAATTCAGACAGCAATCAAACAAATACCGACAAATTTTTTGTATTGCTTTATTTGAATTCGTGGCCATGCACAAAGTTATTGTTACTTGTTAGTATAAGGAAACCGACAAAGCTTTCATTATTTGTATGCGACCAAAAAAAATCCCGACAATGAATACACAAAACAAACAAAATACCGTTACAAATATTAACAAAGACGAATCTTTCTGAAATTGTGCCTTGTGTTCTGTTAAGCGCACTATAAAGTACATATAAATTGTTTCGTCTCCATGTCAAGCCGTTGTTAGGCCAAAAAAAAAGTCTCCGGTTTCTGGTATGCGCGCGCGTCGCCGTAGCCATGCGTGTCGGCAAAATAAAAAAGTTTTTTTTTCAATGAAAGATGATGTCTCAAAACCGCCAAACTCACTGGTTTGACTGGAATCCTGCTGCTGCACAATTTTAACGTGTTTTTGGATTGGGTTATGGTCGAGAATAAGCTTTATGTGGCCTCTCTGGACTCCCATATAATTATTTGCACTAAGTTTAGTCGGGCACCATTTGCAGTCATCAGCCATCATTTCAATGATTTGAAGCAAAAAAATCAGGTAAAAAAAAAAAGCCGCGTCGCCGCACCACTTTTTGGGCAAGCTCCATACCAGAAACCGGAGACTTTTTTTTTTGGCCTTATGTGAAACGTTAAACGCTTTCGTGTTGCAATATTTGAAACAAACGATGATGATGGGCACGTGATCTCTGCAGACTCAAGAGGACCCTTTCGATGGCGAGGGCACTGTACCGGCTATTATTCAAAGCTACTACTAGGCCATCAGCCTGGGGGTTTGGTCGGTATCAAATCAGGACATAAATGATTATAGTGAGCATGCGCAAGGTGTACAACCCCTAGCGTTGGTAACAGGCATTTTGACGGACATTTTGAGAAAAAGGGTGATAACACCCAAAAAGCTGCCACCGCTGAAATGCTTTGACATATTTTCCAACTTTGGAGGGGTATACCTTGCCAAAAATCGCTATGACGATTATTCCCCTCATTTGATACCGGTGGCCAAAATTTTGGACCGAGGCTGATGGCCTATACCCCGTTTGACGGATTATCTAAACCAATGGTTGCGAAGTGCATTCGCCATTGGAAGGGGCCAGCTGTACTGTGGGAAAGCATTGATAGCGTCTCCGCATTGGTCCATACGTACAAGAATACCAAGCTGTAAACACCGCAATGAAAAAAAGCAATCTCATTGGAGGGGTCTTAATTTTGAACCTGATCGTCTTTTTATGACGCCATTTGCATGGCCCTTTGGGGAATGTTGTTAGCTACATTTTGATACCCCGTTGGCGACAAAAGACCGTTGTCCAAATTGTCCAATATTGACAAAGGTTTATGAAAAATGATGCAGTTTGAAAAGTTGTAAATTTATAGATTACGCGAGGAGAAATTTGCTAAGCAATCTTTGCAATCTTAGTCTTTGGTAGCAAACGGGGTATCAAAATGTAGCTAACAACATTCCCAAAAGGTCTATCAATGACGTTATCATAAGACGATCAAATTCAAAATTATGACCCCTCTAATGAGTGTGCACTTTTTTTGGCACGGTGTTTATTTGTAACCGAGTATTTATTTCCCCGATGTGATTTACGCGTTTCTTGGTACTAGATACATTTTATAGTAAGTTAAATGAAATCTGCTTTCGAGTGATACCATCAGATCAATATTGATATAAATAATTTCAAAAGACGCTGGGAACAGTTCTAGGCTGCAATATGTCATTGTAGATGATGAGATAGCAATGTCTATATTATTTAAGTTTGGTTTTTGCTGAGGTCATTGTGACTGTGGCTAGCTGGCTATCAAAAATTATAAAAGAAGAATAAATCCTCCGACATAAAAAGAAGCTAAATCCTTACTAAAAGCCTTACTAAGAGTAGTTCCACTTCAGATGTGCATATTTTCAGTCAGTTCCATGTTCGATTGGGTGAGATTGGGAGGTCTGTCTCTCACGGTATTCTTCCTGTTCACTTGCTGATCGCCTCCAGAGGGCGTGCGCGGGTTATATATGTCCCACGAGATCAGCACCACGAAGACCAGGAGCAGGGCGATGCCGATGTAGCAAGCCATCTGGCCCTTCAGGTCCCAGGCGTCGAAGTAAGTGGTCACGAATCCGCACGTGTTGTTCCCCAGGCCGTTCGTGATGCTCGGAGCAATGCAGACGTGGAAGGTGGTCCCGCTTTCCACCCAGGGCGTGGCGAACGTGGTCTGGTTGGGCGGCAGGCCCCGGCTGATGATCTCGAAGTCGTAGATACTGGAGACGGCCAGGGAGAAGCCTTCCAGCCGGGAGGCGTTGTAGCCGTTGAGGCGGTACGCCCAGTCCGCGGTGAAGCTGTGCTGGGTGACGTTGGGGAAGGTGACATCGATGACCATGATGGCGCTGGTTAGGTCAAGGGTCACCGTGAAGAGGACGAATAAAGCTGGGACTACCTTTAGTGCCATGGCGGCCATCTTGTACTGCTCGAGTATCTGTTATTAAAGAAGAAGAGTGTTATTCATCAGATGGATTTTTTTTTTGCGTCGGGGTGATGTAGATCAAAATTAGGTTTTGCCCTTCAAGAATCGTATAAAGAGAGAACTATTTAATCTTGGTGTCTAAAGGGGTTAAATAATGCTTGTTTTCGGGACAGTTTCCAACGTCGGAGAGGAGGTTATCATTTTTACACAAGGAGCACTATTCATGGTACAATCCCCACCCCCTTTCCTTGTTTTGGAAGGTCTGGGAGATGAATTCTTGTCCCCCACTTGTCCCATTCTAACCTGACCAGTGTTGCTATGCCAATGATATCATGCTGTTTGTTGGAGGAACTTTTCTTAGTCTAACCAATGAAGGAATGGTCTCCAAAGATTAAGCCTGAGTCAGAGTGTAACCAGTTATAACCGAATGGTGTTCTTGATTTTGATTAGACAAAACCCGTGGCACGTTTTAAAAGGTTTCGCTTGGATAAAAAAAGAAATAGAACAAAAGTGTTCAACATAATTACCAGGTATTTGAATAACTTTCCATCTCGGGCGTTTTAATGGTGATATTCAGTGACGCAACAAAACGAGCAAGGGTGATACATACCGTACGTCCTAAGCGATACCATGTCCTCATTGATATTCATACACCATTATCTGTTATATTTGATTCACAAAATACAAGGGTTCCGTTGAATCAAACTCACCATTTTCTCCTGATTTAATCAGTCTTTTAAGAAATACAACATATCACGGCTCCAAGAAAACAGCAAAATGTCCACCGTTGCCCAACTATAGTATTCAAAATCTTTTTATATCCGTGTTTTTGTCGAAGGCGCAGATTTCTTTACCCGAAAACAGCTGAGTACGTGTTTCGGTTTCCGTCCGCCATGTTGGGCCGTATACTCAGTCCCGATTTATGGGCTCAAAGTCTGTTTCGCGACCCGGATAAGAAACGAACCCAGTGGATTGTTGTTCCCTGTGGCAACCACGATTAATGATTAAACTCGTTATCACGACGATAGTGAATATGCGACACTGACGTAGTTAAATTGCCGACTAAGTTTGCCCAAACAGCGCAGTTAAATAGTAACCAGCCGAATGTGTATAAATGTCCCGTCATGTAGCGCTTGCGGGAGCAAAGGGCGAATATGGTTTTTTTATACCTTGAAAAAAATCCTCGTTTATGTCGAATTAAACAATTGAATAACTACATATCGTGTAATGCAAGTTCCACTGGCGCATTCCGATGGACACTCCCAATGTTTTGTGTCGGGTGAATTCTGTTCCTCGTGTGTTTCTGATCTGCCCTTGACTCAATTTATTTTGTCCATTTACTAAGTTCCATTGTTTGTTATCCATTAATTTTTACCTTATTCTTTTTTTTTTACAAAAAAACTTATTTTTTTTTAGTCAATGAGACCCCTCTTCTTTCTTGAATTTTCCAAAATCCAAATCTTTTTCTCCGTCCATTCTTTGTACGTTTTTGTTCGCAACTGATATGTTGTTAAATATAGTATTGGCATGTCCTAAAGAATGGATTCCTAAATTTGATGTATCCTAAATTTGATAATAATTGATAATAATATAGCTCAAAAAGCTAATCTTTTTTTTCGATCCAAGTCTTCGCCTGTTATAATACGTTAGCATTATGTTTTCAAAATTGCCATCCTTTACATTGATGTTAAACTACACGTTTCTATGGTAGGGGTTTAAAGAGCGGCACTAAAAACAATTGAGAGAAAAAAACCACATGAATCTCGTAACACTGTTTGATGGACATGATGCCTGAATACAGCGCCCCCTCCTTCAGCGATCGTGAGGCTGTGGCTCACCAGTGAATAGTAATACCGCCCTCTAGAGGACATGGATGCACTGATCTCAACACAGTTTCAGCCGAGATCAGAAAATTGATAGCGTCGACTTCCATCGGTTTCGGTATTTATCTGGTATTTACTAAAAGGACATCGCGCCCTCCATCGAGAATTCACTGTTTATTAAAAAATGGCCCAGAACATTTATTTCTTTCATCGTGATTCAGTGCCTGAGAGAAAGTGCAATTATACCTTGTGCTTTGAAGTAAGATGGCTAAAGATGTCAGTATTTATTTGACTGTAAAACACATCAATAATAAAGAGAAATGGCTTCAACCAATCTCAGTGTTAACGTTACATCAATCAAACCATATTTCCTAAACTATACCATTTTAGGAAATATGATAATGTTGCATTGAATATTTATATCGTTTCAAGTTCGGGTCAATAAAGAGTCTTACAGATAGGAACCAAATTTTAAAGTTCAAATTTGAACTTATCATCATTTTGGAGCCGTGTCTCAAAGAACTTTCAGGGTTAGGAAGGTGGGGTTGAGTGAAGCCCTTGCTAGGGGTGTCCGGGGCTTGGCCCGGTAAAATCATGAAATCTTTTCTCCGGCATTCTAAGGCAACTTGAGAATAAATGTATGAACTTTAGCATTCCATTGATTATTTTTGGCTCCAGTTTCTTGTTTACATTTAGTCAGCGGTTGAACGGGGTGGCTGGCGGAGGGGGCGGGGGGGGGGGGGGGGGTGCGACCCTCACCCCCTCTATATCCGCTATTGATCGCAGAGGCAAATGTTGATTAATCGTACAAGATTAATCGCAATACTTATTCACAAAATTGTATCATACAAGAACACGTAACAAGGAAAGGAAGGGCAAAACCAGAACGACCGGCGGGAAAGGTTGCTCAAAACTGAACAAATAAACTTCATTCTTACTTCACGAGTCGGCCACCATTCAGTGGAAAGCGGGGTAAACTCTTCATTTTCGTAATTTGAGAGTCGAAATGAAAGTGATGAAATAAAGCTCGATGTTGATTAAACAAACGCTAATGTTTTAAGCCAAATTAAAAAACAAAAATATTGAAAGTGAGGCTTTGCTGTACTCCAATCATAAAATAGTACGCAGACGCGGATGGGGGGGGGGGGGGGTTGTTTCAAACCCCCTTCCCCCCAGCTCTGTCCAATTTTTTTTCATAGAATTTCCTTGAAACAATGCGACCCCCCTCCCCCGCTCTGACACCCCCCAAAAGTATACTGGTAATAATGTCCGCCTGTGCACAAAATACGGACAGAGCCAGCTTGGTTAGGGGGTATTTGTACACTATTCTGTAATATAGTGTTAATAATCGTCGGATTTGAACAACGCCCCCATTGAAAGTATGGTACGAGCCCTCCCCCCCCCCCCTCCCCCACTTGATTTTCGGAGGCCAAGTGAAGGAAAAAAAAAACCTGTCCACATTTCAGATTTTTTCTTCCAACAATTCACAGAATTATGAAATATAGATTCAGGAAGCACGATCGAAGATGGCTTCCTCACAAATGAGGTCTATTCAGTGTACTCGAAACCTTTAGTAATAATATCAACTACCGGGTACTTGAATAACAATGAAATGTACTTTAATAGATTATGACACTCAATCTCATTGGCATAGACACAAAACAAAGCCTCTTAACTGCTCAATCCGGATTCCTTGGATGTGCTAAACAGATACCGTCTTAATTAACTAAATGACCTATACTACTTTTCCGTTCATGGTACGAGATTTGCGTTTAGAGTAGCGGCAACACAGCCGACCCTACAATCGTACTTCGTCTGGCTCCGTCTAATCTCAAGCGTACGTAACAGCTCATATCATAATGGGTAGTCATCTAATCGACATCCCCCTGTATTATCGGTTTTATTTCGGTGCATTCATGTTGCGCCTATGCCAGACCGGACGGATTTGGCAAGATGCTCTCAATCAGACTAAAATGTTTATAGATCCCTACCCGAAAGGGGGCCGGGGAAATGAATGTTCGCTCCGACGCAGCCTATACACCTTCCAACCACTTACGGTGATTGTGTCTAAGACAGTGGAAGAAAATGTCACCCGTGGGACGGCCGACCGACGCGTTCTAAGCGGAGTACGGCTTATTTCTTCGACCTTCGGGCGGTAATGGAATTTGCCGCGGTCCAATTGTGATTCCTAGCTGTTTTGTTTAAATAAAAGTTCTTTGGTCAGTGAGACTATAAAACACCATCAACTTAGAAAAACAAAATGTGAGTGAGTGAGTCCTGCCTATAGGAGAGTGTTTTACTTGCGCAGAGCGTCACATTATGGTAGGGAACCACTGGTGTCTTAAGTTCTGGGAACTCCAGTTAGGCCTATATTACATAATTGTATAGTTCCCAGAAGCTCCTGGCAAATAGCATCTAACATCACGTGACCATACCGAACAGAATTCTGCACGATTACCGAGGGTACAAATTGTGCTCAATAAACCGAGGCGCAGTTGAAGTCAATTTTGGCCTTGTGGTTTAGACCAACATTCGGAACAGGCCTCTTTGACATTGGTTTCATCAATGGGAGGCTTTTGAGAAGAGTGGTGGCAGCAAACACACTGGTCCTTTTCTATTGTTTGCGTTATGTTAAAATTAATGTGCGCATGTTCAGAAATTATGCAACAAATAGAAACCGACCGATGTATGTGGTGCCACCAAGTGTCTCAAAAGTCTTAGGCTGCATCCGAATCAACTGTCTAGAGCTAGGTCTAGGTCTGCGCCCATTGAAAATACACGGGGACGCGCTGACAATAGACGTAGCCGTAGCTCTGGAAGCCCGTTTCGGACACGGCCTCACATCTAAAAAGCGACGGTCACCTGAGTTACAGTCTTTTAAGAGACGCCAGCGATTATTGGGTCAGGGAACCGGACCGCGAACTGCGTGCAAAAGTACCCCAAACAGTGACAATGATTTAGATATGACAGCGATTGAACGGCCAAATGAAATCCAAATTCTTGGTCAATTTGACCAGGGGCGTTTCATTTGTAGGAATACATGTCTTTATGAATCTATCAAAAACATTTGCCAGCAGTAAACCACTGACACAATTCTGTGCCTCGAAAGCAGAACTGGTATAGAAATGCCAAGTTATAAATATACAAGTGCCCCGATGCATCACGATCGAGCAAAACCAGCGGTTGATATGGGAGGATTTTGGATGGGATATAAGGCTTGGTGTTTGATGCGCAGTCGGCGCGGAAGACCCAAATTACAAAAAGAAGAAGAAGAAGAAGAAGAAATCTCTCTTCCACGCGAGGAAGGCTGCTTTAATTTAGCGCAATCCATTTGGACGGGAAATTGGAGCGAGTTATCAGCCTGCCTGACAGTCCACTTCGATCCCTTGCCTCCAACGGCCTTCATGATTTTCTGGGATATTAAAAGCCATTTACCGACATCTCCATTGATCCGACTGCTATATAGCCAGCCCCGGCGGTCTAAGCAAAGTGACGAAATGTGGAGTAACTGTTGAACCGCACTTCTCAGCGATCTGACAGTTCGAGCGGCATTTCGCACTTCCCACTTGCACGCTTTTCTCTTTATTTATTGGAGGACACAGTGCGAGGGAAAATAAGAGAGAAGAGGCCGCGTCGCAAGAAAAGAAAGAGGGGGAGAGAAATGGAGAGAGCTAGACGGGAATCCTTGGTACGACGACGGGTTTTGGAGGCATGCCACAGCAATGTGTGAGGCTCATCGGCGGAAAAGCAATCACGTCGCGCCTAGCAGCTCATTGCCATGCGGCTTTCGTAAACAAACCCCAACCAACCGTGAAGGAGATTTCAGCACCGCGACGGCGCAATGATTGTTTTGCCAGGGACGCGGGAGGGGAAAGTTGGAGGAGTATCGAGGGACTCGGGGCTAGGGAACGTGGAAATGAAAATTCACCTTGGTCATTGCGTGGGATAAGGATGAGTAGGTGCACTCCTCAACCAGCCATCTGGAGATTGCATCTCCTAGAACGGGCCGGATCTCCATACTTCACACGCCAATTTGACCGCGGTGTGAATTCGTTATTGGCAGAGGTCAAAGGTCAACCAA